AAAAACTCAAATAATATTATTATATCTGATAATCGAAGAAAAGGATAATGATACAGAGAGAGAAAGAGAGACAAGAGAAAGATGAACCAAAATCAGAAAATGAAATAATGAAAAAAGTGTTTTGTGAAATGAAAAGTCCAACCCTTTTATATCTAGGGTTTGCTCAATGCTAAATAAGTAAAATACAATTGCCTATAGTTGTTGTTTTATAAACAGCAACTTTAACACAAGTTCTAAAAGTACAATTGCCTATAGTTGTTTTATAAACAACAACTTTAACACATGTACTAAAACAAAAACAATTGATATACATAATGTTATTACACCCCCCTCCCGCAAGCTTAACATGTATGTTGTGCATGTTAAGTTTGGATGTAGGATACTGAAATGCAGGACCAGCCAAAGCTTTTGTAAGCATATCTGCAGCTTGCTCTTTTGAATCCACATGCTGAAGTTTGATAAGGCCTTTAGTTACCTTTTCCCTGACTAGATGACAATCAATTTCTATATGTTTTGTTCTTTCATGAAAAACTGGGTTAGTAGCCATTGCAATAGCAGATTTACTATCAAAGAATAAAGAAACAGGGGATGTGTGAGAAACATTAAGATCAACAGGAAGATATAAAATACATTGAATCTCACAAGATGTAGAAGCTAGTGCCCTGTATTATGCCTCAACAGAAGACTTACTAATAGTTGCCTGCTTTTTAGATTTCCAAGATATAAGTGATTGTCCCAAAAAAATTGAAAAACCAGTCACACTCTTTGTTGTGTTAACACAAGAGCCCAATCACTATCTGAAAAAGCATGTAACTGAAGTGAAGAATTTCTGGAAAAGAGAATTCCCTTACCTACTGTACCTTTTAAGTATCTCAGTACTCTGTATGCTGCATTGAGATGATGAACTGTTGGTTTGGATAGGAATTGGCTGAGGGTATGAATGTTGAATGCAATATCAGGCCTTGATATTGTTAAGTATAGTAACCTGCCAATGAGCTTCCTATATGTTGTAGGTTCTGTCAGTTCATCATTCTCAGTGCAAGCAGTTAGTTTAATAGTGGGATCCATAGGAGTGGTGCTGGTTTGCAGCCTAAAAAACCTGTGTCAGTGAGAATATCTAATGCATATTTTCTCTGACACATGTTTATCCCTTGATCAGAGTGGGCAAACTCTAAACCAAGGATATACTTTAAAACACCCAAATCTTTTATAGTAAAGCGTTATCAAGATGAGTTTTGATAGCAATGATATGATTTAAATTATTGCCAGCGACAATAATGTCATCAACATATACTAGCAAAGCTGTGAATGAGGAATCTGAATGCATGGTAAACAGAGATGTGTCTGAAACAGATTGCACAAAACCATAATCAATAAGACATTTAGTGAGCTTAGAGAACCATTGTCTAGAAGCTTGCTTGAGACCATAGAGGCTTTTTACTAATTTACAAACCCTGTTATCAGACTTATCAAGATACCCTGGAGGGGGCTTCATATAAACTTCTTCCTCTAATTCACCATGTAAGAAGGCATTGTTAACATCAAGTTGATGAATATGCCACTTTTTAACAGAAGCTATATATAGCAATTAACAATCTGACAGTAGTGATTTTTGCAATTGGGGAAAATGTTTCAAAATAGTCAATTCCCTCTTCTTGTGTATAACCTTTGGCAACAAATCTTGCCTTATATCTTTCCACAGTACCATCAGATTTGTATTTTATTTTGAAAACTCATTTGCAACATATGCAATGTTTATTTTTGGGTAAATTTGTCAATTCCCAAGTATTAGTTTTCTCTAAAGCCTCTATTTCATTTCTCATAGCAATCTGCCATTGTGTATCTTTGGCAGCTTCTTTAAAACTTTTAGGTTCAGTAAGCAATGATATGGATGCTGTAAAGCATGAATGTAATGCAGATAAAGAGTCCGTGGACAAAAAATTTGAGATAGGATATAGAGATGTTCCAGAAGTGCATTAAGAAGAAACTGTTGAGTTTGATGAAGGAATAGAATGTGTGTATATGTCAAGGTAGACTGGGGGTTTAGTTGGTCTGTTTGATCTTTTGATGTTTGGTATGTTTGCAGGGAGTTGTGGAGAAGTAGGTGGAGTATTTGATATATGTTCTGAGGACTGTATAGGGTATGTAGGTGATGTAGTGGGTAATGATGTAGATATAGGTAATGTATTCTGTATAGGAGGGATGAGAGCTGATACACTGTTCTGTTCAAAAGGAAAAGGTTGAGATAATGGAAACAATGTATCTGTATTATCAGTAGAAGAGTTAGGATCAATGTCCTTAAAAGGAAGAACATTCTCATAAATTTGCACATTTCTGGATATAAATGTTTTCTTGGTATCAAGGTTGTAAAGTTTGTAACCTTTACAACCTATGTGATATTCAAGAATTATGCACTTATGGGCCCTTGAATCAAATTTACTCCTATTTGCAGTGAGAGTAGATGCATAACACAAACTACCAATGACTCTGAGATGAGTGTATGTAGGTGGTTTGTTGTTTAAAAGTTCAAATGGAGATTTGTTTTGTAAAACAGTGGATGGAACTCTATTTATGATATGTGCAGCAGCTGAAATACAGTCCATCCAAAATATTGAGGGTAAATGTGCATGAAACATAATAGCCCGAGCTACTTGTAATAGATGTTGGTGCTTTCTCTCCACTCTCCCATTATGTTGGGGAGTTTCAACACAAGTAGTTTGATGAATGATGCAATTAGATTGGTAAAAATCATGAAGAAAGAACTCAGTCCTATTGTCAGTTCTAATGGTTTTTATTTGTTTTTGAAATTGAGTGAGAACCATGTTGTAGAAATGAGTGAGACTGCTTTTAGTATCAGACTTAGCTTTAAGAGGATAAATCCAAATTGTTCTACTAAAGTCATTAACTATTGTAAGAAAGTATTTATATCCTTCATGAGAAATGATAGAAAATGGTCCCAAACATCACAGTGAATAAGTTCAAAAATAGTAGAAGATTTTGAGTCACTGATTGTGAAGGGTAACCTTTCTTGTCTAGCAAAATGACATATATCACAAGGTAATGAGTGCATAGATGAACATGATGAATCAACCATTGGTAAATGCATCAACTTATTATATGACAAATGTCCCAGTTTGTGGTGCCACAAAGTATTGTTCATAGAACTATGCTTTACAGGTAAAGGAGAGTTTACATGTAAATTGCATGAAGCAGCATTAACAGAAAGACATGAGTTAACAGAAGAATCAGATAAAGTCAGATGGTAGAGGCCATCTTTTAAGTCAGCAGAACCAATCATTTTGAGAGTTGTCAAATCCTGTAATATACAATATGATGACATGAACTGAATCACACAGTTTGTAGTGGATACTAGTTTGGAAACTGATATCAAGATTGAATGTGAAATTAGGCACAAGTAAATCATCATGCAAAATCAAGTCACTTGATAAAATACTTTGCCCAATGCTTCAGTAGTATTACCATTTGGTAAATTGATTTTTATATTTGTAACCGGTTTGAGATTAGTAAACAAACTAGCATCACAAACCATATGATCAGTTGCACCCGTGTCTATAATCTAAGTATTTTTAATAAAATTTCTAGACACAGTGCATATAAAGGGATTAGGAGTACCTGAAGCATTATGCACAGCTGTTGCTACCATTGGACTTGGTTCTGTGACAGATTTAACTTCCTGATTCTTTTTTAAGGCTAAAAACTCAAGAAAGAGATCATTAGTTGTGGAAGATGCATCATTAGAAATGTTCTCAGGAGTACTGGTTGAATGAGTGAGGTTGACAGAGTGTTTAGGGTGAATTCTGGGACCCTTGGGACCAGTCCAGTTAGGAGGGTAGCCATAAACTTGATAACATTTGTCTGAGGGGTGTGGATAACCACAATGAGAGCATTTTGGTCTTGGCTTCTTATTTTTGGAATAAGGTTGTTTGGAAGAAGTGAACTGAGGGTTGTTTGTTTTAGCTAGCATAGCCATAGGTTTAGAAGCAATAGAAGAGTTATGGAGGGCTCTTTGGGATTCTTCTTGAAGTAATAAGGAATAGATCTTTGTAAGGGTACATAATGGGGATGTAAGTAGGAAATAGCTTCTGAGAGAGGCATATGAGTCATTTAAACCAATGAGGAATTTCGTCACACAATCATTTTGTTGGGATGCAGCCATCAAGTCAAAGATATTGCAAGTACAGGAAGCCAAAGCACCACAATTACATTTGATAATAGGCCTAAAGGTTACATACTCATCCCAAAGACCTTTGAAAGCATTGTAATACTGAGTAACAGACAGTGAACCTTGAGTCATTGTGTTTAGAGATTTTTCTAATTGAAAAACTCGTGGTCCACTACTCACAGCATATCTATTTTTCAATTCATCCTAGACATCCTTAGCATAATTGAAAAACAGCAGAGATTGTCTAATATTTTTAGAAATCGAACTCAACAGCCAGGACAAAACCAAATTATTTGCCATCACCCAAGAGATATACAGACTATTATCTAGAGTAGGAAAAGGTGATAGCAGAGTACCATCAATAAAACCGCCTTTGTTTTTCACGCTGAGGGCCATGACAACTGCGCGGGACCAACTGACGTAATTATCACCGTTGAGAAGTTCAGCGACGATGAGAGCTCCCGGATTGTCACTCGCGTGAAGGTAGTAAGCACTGGATGGATCATCGTTGGGACTTTGAGTGGTCGCCATGTGAAATCAACCGAGCATCAAGTAGATCAACCGAGAATCAAGTAGATCTAGGAGATGTAGATCACAAAATCCAAAACAATCAAAGATCGAGTTTCAGATGTTGAAAACCCTAAAAAAATCAAAGATCTTAGAGATGAAGACTCGATCGGAACAAAAAACAATAAGAGATCTATGTGCAAAAGCGAAAAATCACTGGATCGTACACGACTGATACCATATTATATCTGATAATCGAAGAAAAGGATGATGATACAGAGAGAGAAAGAGAGACGAGAGAAAGATGAACAAAAATCAGAAAATGAAATAATGAAAAAGTGTGTTGTGAAATGAAGAGTCCAACCATTTTATATCTAGAGTTTACTCAAGGCTAAATAAGTAAAATACAATTGCCTATACTTGTTGTTTTATAAACAACAACTATAACACAAGTTCTAAAAGTACAATTGCCTTTAGTTGCTGTTTTATAAACAACAACTTTAACACATCTACTAAAACAAAAATAATTTCATATACATAATGTTATTAAATATAAAATAACAAAACTCGAAAAAATGTACAAACAGACGCATCACACAATACCAACTTTGTCTACAACAAAAAACTAAACACAAGAAGTACTAAACTAGCAAGAAAAACCTCAAACTAGCAAGAAAAAACTAAACTACCACAGTACTAAACAAAACCTANAATAATAATAATAATAATAATAATAATAATAATAATAATAATAATAATAGCATCACCAACTTCATGGCTCTAATAATAATAATAATAATAATAATAATAATAATAATAATAGCATCACCAACTTCATGGCTCAATCATGATTTGGTGATTTAGTTTGACATTAATATGCATTTGCGGACAAACTTGTTCACCTAAGCATATCATCAAAAACCAACTCCCTAAGGCTAAAGTTCGTCTCAAAAGTTAGCGAAGGTCCACCTTTCCCATATTAAAATGCACTCAATAAATTGAGTAACCCCTACTCCATATATATAATACACACATTAAAAAAAGAAAGAAAAATACAAGAAAACTCTATATAAACCCTATTTCACAATTCAATTTTCACAATAAGCTACAAATTCTTTAGGAAAAGCAACTAACAAAAAAGATGGCGAAAAGCAAGATTCTGGTGGTGGGTGGGACCGGCTACATTGGGAGGAGGCTCGTCAAGGCCAGCCTGGCGGAGGGCCACCCCACGTACGTTCTCCGGCGGCCGGAGATTGGGCTGGACATCGACAAGCTGCAGGTGTTGCTGGAGTTCAAGAGGCAGGGAGCCCGCCTGCTCGAGGGCTCGTTTCCCGATCACCGGAGCCTGGTGGAGGCCATCAAACAGGTCGACGTAGTGGTTTGTGCCATGTCGGGAGTTCATTTTAGGAGCCATAATCTCATGTTGCAGCTTAAGCTCGTTGATGCTATTAAACAAGCTGGAAATATCAAGGTAAGTGTAAATATTATCAAGTAAAAATATAGAATACCCTTTCCTTCTTTAAATTTTCAAGATTTTTATATAACTAAAAGAATTATTTTTTAAAAAGTATTTTAGAGTTTCATCATATAAATGTGCTCTTCTCTACCACTAGGGCACATTAAAATGCGTTTATCAATTGTTTAATTTTCAATCCGTTGTGTTAAATCCCTATATATAATTCCTGAATTTGTTCTTACACTTCGGATTATATGTGCCAAAATTTCATGTTTCGTCATTTGGTTGGATGATTTTTAATTTACTTACAATCCATAAACAATTAGGATTGGTCTTATCCATAAATATACTGGATATTTATGACAATTTTTACGAGCATTAATTGTGTTTTAATAAATTTTCTATTCTGGACGTGGTTTCTAAGTCATGGTTTTTTTTTTCTCAATCTTTTTTTTAAACTATAATATATTTTAAAAGTCAATTTTTATATTTATTATCACTCTTGATATATTAAATAATAAATCAATCATCTCTTCATTAGCTTCGATTTGACATCTATAATGTATGATACAATAAATAAATAATTGTATTTATATTTACAAATAAAAATTAAATTATCTGTTATTTTTAATTTTAAAAAAAATGAAATACTTATCAATTAAATAACTTTACATGTGAAGTAGTTATATGATATAAGTTAAAAGAACTATTATAATATAAGATGACTAAGTCGTACATGTGATGGTGTCATTTTAAATATGAACCAGTATTTGATCCTGTCACATGCACAGATATTTAAATTATTATAACTTATAAGTTACGTGTATGTGTATAATTGTAAAATTATAAGTTAAATAATAGTATCATATTTTAAAATTTTAAAAACAAAATTATTTTGTATTTCAGGACATAAAAAGACATTAAAGAAATGGACACCATCTAAAATGGGACATATCAAATAATTCGTGTAACTGAAAGTTACATATTTTTATTAAATGGTGGACAAATTTTTATTAAATGAACACCTATTTTTATTAAATGAACTACTACTATTATTAATTGTTGGATGAATAAAATTTATTGAAACTTGCCAGTAATTATATATGTAGATAATAATAATAATAGCAATAATAATAATAATAATATATTTTATAAAGAGCATTTAAATTTAGAATAGAATTTTTTATTACTTTTTAAATTTAAGTACAATTTTTTTAACAGACACCCGTATAATGCACGAGTGTTGTACTAATATTTGTCAAAAGCTAATAGTTGCATGCTACAAAGAAACCGTCAACTCCTCCTCTGAGCTCCGTTTGTCCATGCCGTTGCCGGCCACCACCTCCGGCCCGGTCATTCAACCCATTAGAAGNAAAGAGGGCAAAAATTCAAAATTGGTCTTATAATTTAGCCACTGTCCAAAAAACTACCCCGATATTGACCACTTTCAATTTAGGTCCTATAATTTGTCGATTTCATCAATTTTGGTCCTTTTTTATCCGCACCTTGGATTAAAAAGTGACGTGGCATGAAAAAAGGACCAAAATTGATGAAATCGACAAATTATAGGACCAAAATTGATGAAATCGACAAATTATAGGACTAAAATTGACGTGCCACGTAGATCATAATCACGCCATGTAACATTAAAAAACTGACACATCATGCCACGTCACTTTTTTAATCCAGGGTGCGGATAAAAAGGACCAAAATTGATGAAATCGACAAATTACAGGACCTAAATTAAAAGTGGTCAATATCGGGGTGGTCTTTTGGATAGTGGCCAAGATATAGGATCAATATTGAAATTTTGTCAAACAAAGAGAAATGTTATAGGTACATAATATTGTACATAAAGGTATACATAACACTCACATTGAGTCGGACAGATCAAAAGTAAAAGCGGACCTCACTCCATGTGAGTGTTATGTATACCTCTATATACATTTATTATGTACTTGTAGCATTTTTCTAAAACGAAACAATTGCGTTGTCCTACTTTGGTACGAGTGCTATTTGTGAAAAATTAAACTTTTTGTGACAATTTAAAGGAGGTGAGATATTCAGTTCAAGTCGATTATTGAAAATTTTAATATACTAAAACCAATTAAGTTCAAAATTCAGGGTACAAAAGCAAAAAGTATGTAACAATACATATCAAAGTTGATTTTTTTCAAATTTGAGTAAATATAACAATATATATACCGGATATTACAATGTACATATGCTTAATTACATATCTATTTTACTATATAATTAGGGAGTGACTTTCGCTTACATATCTATTTTACTAATTAAGAAAGTCACTTCTAATTTTAGTTTGTCACTTGTGGGGTTATTTTTTCTTTGGAAAATAATGTAGTAAGTCTCTTGTGGGTCCTACATTCTCATACCCTTTTTTGGAAAATCATTAGGATGTGTCATTTTTCTTGAAAAAAAAGTTATTGACCACACATACTGCAAATGTGGTTATTTTTTCTCTTGAAAATAGTTTACCAATACAATTACTTATTTGACCCTATATTTTATCTTTTTTGACCAGACATGTTGCAAATGTCTTTTTAATTTCCTTCTTAAAATAACTAGTACAACACCAGTATAATATATGAATATTAAATTAAATAATTTTTATATAAAAATATTGTAAAAAAAATATAATATTCATATTTTATTTTATTTAATTAAAAATATTTTCATAAAAACGTTTTAAAGGAGAATATATTACTTTTACATTTTTACTTTAAAGTTTATAGATACATGCATTTATAGACTCAAAACACTTAAGTTACTATAAGAATTTAATTGAAAATCTACAATATCACAAAAATAAAATAAAAAAAAATGAGCATAAATTTAAGATGACTTTACTTCTTTATTTCAAAAAATACAATTAAGAATATTTTTTTAAAATTTTAATTTCTGATAATTAACATTGTTATTGAAATAAAATAAATCAATAATAAAATTTCATGTATGTAGATTTTTTATTACTTAATTTATTATAAACGTGATTTACCAAACAAATTAAAACAACTGTGTGGCATTACCAGAATTTTATTACGAATTACAAATTCTTTCAGTTAATTAAAGTTCCTGTTGTTAAATTAAAATTGATACAACTCCAATCCCAAGAATGAAATATTGATAAGTTTCTTTTACCAACAAAAAAGTTCAAACAATTAATAGTGATTGCCACAATTAGGAATAACTTTCTCTGCAATAAATTATTATTCAATTTCTTTGTTACAAGTTACAATAACGCAAAGCCCACGTTAATGGTAGATCACTTAAAAAAAATCCTTGGATTTTGTCATTGACAGATTTAAAAAAAAAAATACCATAAGCTGGGAAAATCTAGATGAAGCCTAAGTGAGTTTTCATCCCAAAACTAATTGCTGGAAGGAGGAGTAGCCTAAGTGAGTTATAAAGTCCAGATGAAGCCTAAGTGAGATTTCATCCCAAAACCAAAGATTTCATCTCAAAACCAATTGGTGGAAGGAGGAGTAGCCCATTAGACTTATAAATTAGACTTATTTTCCCTATATAAAGAATGTGAGACAACTCACAAGTAAATATTCTAATACGCCCACCCACTTGTTAGTCCTTAATAAGAAAGCTCAAGCCCATATAGTTGTGTACCCAAGTCGTACTAGAAACAGGCTCCCATAAACGAGTGCGTGGAGAAAACGGGTACGTCATTACACGGTCCCACATAGAACCGACTCGGATACCATGTAAGAAACGGGGATAAAACCGGTGCGGTCCCACGCACGGGAAGCGCACCATAAGCAAGGAAAGCTCAGATGAAGCTCAGGTGGGGTTCCATCCCAAAACCAATTAGTGGAAGGAGGAGTACCCCATCAGACTTATAAATTAAGTCTATTTTCCTTTTATAAAGGATGTTGGACAACTCACAAGTGAATATTTTAATAAACTTGTTTATAAATTAAGAGATTGTGGGGAGAAAACAAACTATTTTAGGCGTGAGTATAGAAAGATATTAGGAGAAGGTATGTAAGATATTAGCATAAGATATGTATGATTTAGAAAAATTAAAGATTAACTATGCTTAGACGAACGTTGAGATAAAATAGGTAATTCACAAACCTACTTGGCATAGTTGAGTTGGCATCCAAACCTATACATGTGTTAAGCCAAAGCATAGAATTGCAACAAATAAGCATACGGAACATGCGAACCTAACACTTAGGTTCAACTTATTTTGAAATTATATATATGGGAGATTTTACCAAGACTACTTATTTTTACCCTACATATTTTAGGAAAACCGTTTTACCTTCAAATACATAACATCTTTCATATGTAAATTTCGGTTTTTTACAACTCAAAAAAATGTTTTATTTATAAAAAAATAAATCAGGTCCCAAAAAAATGAATTAACTGTCAATTTTGAGCCTAATATAATGGCCTTATTTGGTAATCAATGGTTAATTATTAGTTGTTAGTAAAATTACTTATAAGGACAACAACATACTTGAAAATTATTTTTATGTAGATATTTATAAAGTAGCACACAAATATCTACTTTCCAAAAGGCTCTGTTTCATTTTTTTTTCGACAGTACATCTAACTCGTTATTATACCATACAAATGAATTAACAAAAATTTGGATACTATATTAATTTCCGTTTTATTTTAACAGAAATAATATACTTTTACTTCTATCTTGTTCGAGTAATATTTGTTGGTATTCGTTCTACATTCAAAATAATTCAAATTCACTTTTTTTTTCGACAACACATCTACCTCGTTCTTATACCATACAATTGATTTTTTTTTTCAGATACTAAATAAATTTCATTTAGTTTAATAGAATAATATAATTTTAATTCTATCTTGTTCGAGCGTCTGTTCTACTTTTAAAATAGTTTGGTTTTACTTTTTTTCTTCGACAACGCATCTAACTCGTTCTTATGCAATTGAATTATTTTTTTTGGATACTAAATAAATTTCAGTTTATTTTAATGAAAATAACATACTTTTATTCTATCTTGTTCGACAATGTTTGTTGGCGTCCGTTGTACTTTAAAAATAGCACGGTTTTACTTTTTTTGTTCGAAAATATATCCAACCCGTTCTTATACCATATATTTGAATTTTTTTTTTTCTCAGATTCTAAATTAATTTCACTTTTATTTTTCCGAAAATAACATAATTTTACTTCTTCTTGTTCGAGCAATGTTTGTTGGCGTCCGTTTTACTTATATCTTGTTCGAGAAATTTTTTTCAGAGTACTAAATTAATACCATTTTTATTTCTCACATGATATAGAGATAAAGATGGAATTCATTTATTANGAGGTATTTAAGGGTAAATTGAACTTTTATTTTGTTCCCTTCAAAAGCTAATTGAAAACACTGCAAGATGTATTGTTTCAATTTTTAGCGGTTGTGCACCAACAAGCCAATTGCAGAAGCCACTGACCAAACAAAAATTTGGCTGTTTGAAAAAACTATTTTTTTTTTTCACAAAACGCCAATACCAAACACCCCCAATATCTTTCTATTCGGACTCAAAAGACTTATCAATTTTAATCCTAAAAGATTAAATCTATCGGACTCCATATGTGTTGTTAAGAAAATAAATGAAAACATCTTAATACAAATAAAAAATGAAAAAATTATGAAAAACACCAGTAAATTTTTATATGCCGAAATTATTAAAATGTAAAAGTTTGGTAATAATAATCATTCTAATATAAATATACATAAAAAAGAGATGAAAAAAATAAGGTAAATTTCTTCTCCGGTCACATATGGAAACAAAAATAGATAGAGCAAAAAATTAATGATGTTTTTAATATATTTTTTCATTATTATTTATATTGAGGTACTTTTATTAACTTCATGTCATCACTTATTAAGAAGAGTATGATGTTAATCTTTAGAATTTTGAATTGATAATTTCATATTTTGCTAATCCCAAATGGATAGAGTTTATGTATGAAATCTTGAGCAATTGAAAGTTGATTTATTTTTCGTCTCCTATAATAATAAATACTAAAATTTTAAATCTTTCAACATTTAAACGATTGAATTTGTTGTTTTGACCCAAATTGATAGTTTGATATGTTTTGTAACCTAAATTAAAATTTTTATTATTAATTATTAATTACACCTGTGCATTTGTGTAATGCCCCACTTTTATTTCTCGAAAATCGGAATAAATTTTTCAAATTTATTTCAAAATACCTGAGGCGCTACTCATTTTCAAAACAAACTTCAACACTTATTTAATTTCTCAATACTAAATCAATTATCGATATCAGTCATCAATCATCAGTAATTCAATCATCAATTTTACTAACTCCTAAACGGGTTTTCCAAAATTCATAAGTCACCCGAACCGGGTTTCAATAACATTCATAAATTCTAAGAAGCACCTCCTTAACATTATTCAAGTCATAAAATCCAAATCATAAATGCAACAATACTCCAAGTTCATAGTCATAAAATTCAGAATTCATAAATGCGGAAGCATAACAAATAATAAGACCGGTCGTATAGACCGACCACCACTCGCTCTATTCCGCCATCGTGCCTGCCTCGCCTAACCTGAAACGTGAATTTCAGGTGGGAATGAGCACAATAGGAAAAAGTAGTGCTCACCACTATACAGTAAACATTTATCAAACAAATCAACAGTATGATCTCAGCATGAATAAGAATCAATCTAATATCCCAATCTCCTGTCATCATAATATCGTCATAAAATCAAGACTCGTGTGCACACCTACGCATAGACTACTGCGGGGTAAAATACCGAATGCCCCTCGGGCTTCTATCGGTGCCCAAGCCAGTAGGAGTAAATTCTCAAAGAAGATTACCCAACGGGTACGTTTTATAGCTATGGGACTAACTGTTCGACGGCCGGTACAACTCACATCGAAGGCTACATGGTTCACATGCATACTTTGATCATACCACAAATAATTAACATTCATTCATATCATTTACAGCATAGCAAATTTTTACACATGGTTCACATGCATACTTTGATCATACCACAAATAATTTGCACATGCATCCTAATAAGGTATTTTTTTAATTAAATACACTAATTGTACTAGTATCCTAATAAAGCATCCTAAGTTAGGGCTAATTAACTCAGAATACCATACTATCTCTTTTATGTATAATTTTTGAGTGCGTTGAGTCTAAGAGGCAGGTCTGTATGCTTCGTAAGCTTATTTTATATAAATTTATGCTTCGTATTCACAAATGTACAAGTTTGATACTGAATTTTAGGCTTGGGAATCTATTACTATATAACAAAGTTACCTATTTACTAAATATAATAGTAAAAATCTAAATTAATTCATTTTCAACTTTTTAAATTATAGTAAATACAAAATACATGCCATTTCATATTTTAATAGTTTGGTTGGGACACTCATTATATTCAAATAAATAATATATAATTTTTCATATTTAGTATTTCTTTTTCTATAATAATAAGATGTTAAACATAAATAACTATGTATAATATAAAGTCTTAGAAAATGTTTTAAGTAAAAGCCCCTCCGTGCAGCGCACAGGATACACACTAGTTATACTTTGAAACAAATCGTCCCTATATATAATTCTTGAATGCGATGTGTCTAAGTGGCAGACTTATGTGCTTCGGAAGCTTACTTAGCATAAATTAGTGCTTCGTATTGACACATGTTCAGGTTTGATATTGACTATTAGGCATGGAAGTTACCATAAACTATTTTAGTTTTCCTTGTTTCTTAAGTTACAATATATTACTCTTACCTTTTTTATATATTAGTTATTATAAATATGTATTCTTTTTATTTTTAAAATTTATTTTTTTTATATATGAATAACCAAAATAATCATATTTTAATGATCTTCGATTTGACATCCTTACTGCATATATAAAATAAAAAGTAATTTTATCTATATTTATAAATAATATCAATTTTATTATCAACTCAATTTAAAAACATATCTATAACAATATAAAATATTCTATAAAAATAATAAAAATCTAATTTATCAATACACCATAAAATAATCGATTTAATGTGTTTTTCCATAGATTTGGATAAAATATGAAAATTAAGTATTACATACAATAAATTATAAAAAATCTTTTAAAATATTATTATTTTTTATTTAAATATATTGTATAAGGAAGTGAATATTATTATGCTGTTTAAAATAAAAAATATAAAAAATCTCATAATTAAATATAATTAAATAATTTTACGTTTCATAGATTTAAAAATAATACATTTCTGCATAAATTAATATTTTGAATTATTAAATTATATAAATTTGAATTACTTGAAAAACTAATAAACTAGAGACACTAACTCTATAAATATAAAATATAATCAGAATACAATAAAACTTGTTTTGTTTAAAAAAAATTCGATCAAAAATATGAGTTGTAAATAATATTTGTTTTATACAAATATAATCTTAAAATTGTAATTAGAAAATATAGTTTTTAACAAATTTAGTGTAAAAATATGCGCGTCATTTTTAATTAATTATTTATTTTACAAATATTAATATATTTAAGTACCCGTGTAATGCACGGTATCATACTAGTTACACAATTGTCATCAATAGTAAAACTTCAACATATATTAATGCTAGTTCATTAACTTTGCTCTCTAGCGTTTCTTGCCTTCGGAGTTTGGTATGGATCCAGCCCAAATGGGAAATGCTCTTGAGCCCGGAAGAGTAACATTCGACGAGAAGATGATCGTGAGGAAAGCAATCGAAGAAGCCAAAATCCCTTACACATACGTCTCGGCCAACTGTTTTGCCGGCTACTTTGTCGGCAATCTCGCCCAACTTGAAACCCTTGTTCCTCCTAAGGATAAAGTACTAATCTATGGAGATGGCAATGTTAAAGGTGAAATAATTCTTCATGTACATATATCCACATGTAGTACTCTACTTAACTTTCTCTTTAAATGGCAATGTTAAAGGTGAAATAATTCTTCATATACATATATCCACATGTAGTAATCTACTTAACTTTCTCTTTAGAACTATGATATATCCTAGTATTAAATGTAGTAATCTTTTCATTTTCTAACATGTTCAATTTATGGGAGCATTTGCGGTCCAGTCACCAAAATAGGGCTGCAAACGAGTTGAGTCGAGTCAAGCATGGACCTTTTCGAGCGCAGATCAAACTGAGCTCGACGAGCAATGTAAAATGTTGCTTGACTCGTGAAAAAAAATAAAAATGCTCGAGTTCGGCTCGAAAGTTTAACCAGAATGGAAAAGAAACAAAATAAAGAAAGGGTTTGCTAATTTTGCGCGTGTCGTGTTATTATTACAGCGGTGTTCATGGATGAAGATGATGTTGCAACGTACGCTATCAAGTCCGTAGATGACCCTCGTACGTTGAACAAGACACTCTACCTTCGCCCACCGGAAAACATCCTAAGCCAGAGGGAATTGGTCGAGGAATGGGAGAAACTCACTGGAAAGACACTGGAGAAGTTCAGCGTCTCGAAAGAAGATTTCCTTGCTAATCTCAAAGGTACATAATATGAATCATATTAGTCAAGGGGAAATGTGTATATATATATATATATATATATATATATNCAAAATATTAATGTAGACCAATCATTTGACCCGACTTGAAAAAATTATTATGGGAATTTTTTTTTTAAACTTCAACATCGATATAGATGTAATCATGAAATTGCTTTTCTTGCACAGTTTTATAAGCACTTGATATATGAAGGGGATGAAATTATCAATGCAGGTGGTGATTTTGCTTTGCAAGTTGGATTATGCCATTTTTATCACATTTTCTATGAGGGATGCTTGACAAACTTTGAGATAGGGGAAGATGGAGAAGAGGCTTCGACACTTTACCCGGAGGTCGAGTACATGCGTGTCCACAAATACTTGAAGCGTTATTTATGAAATTCATATATTCCTGAATTTTTATGCTCCTAAAGTTTCTATTTACTGCTTGCTATCAACTTGCAAGAATTATACTTAATCTGGGATTTGGACAAGAATAAGTAAGATCCTACAATAACTATTCTGTGTTTGGTCAACTGTTATTCACATCTATGTACAAGAATATTTCAGACAATATATTCTATTGCTACATTGTTATTCCCTTTTTAATTGGTTCATCATGTGAGTGCAACACAAATTAATCAAAGGAGGGTAACTTATTAAAGTGATTAAGTTCATCAGAAGCTAATGAAAAGTAAAGTAAAATCTGAATATAGTGATGATATCAGGAAACCGCAATATATATTGGCTGAGCGTGATAATATATCTTTTCCCAAAAATAATGACAAAAAAAATGAAATTCTTATCTATTTGCGAGCGGTTTAGCTTCAAACACCGACCCATTGATGCCAATAAAATCGTAGCTACTTCGGGTATTTAAATCAAAATCGACAGAAGGCCCCTCGAGCTTAATAAGCTTGATGTCTTTACTTTCTTGTCTACCATAATCTGACTCGTGCGAATTCCCATAATCCACAATATTTCCATTGCGTCCATCCGTATTTACGTTTTGCATGAAACTCGAGAGAGCCAAGTTGAAGTCGGTTAGCTGAGCTTTTGTCGACTCGAGACATTGAGAGTGGTTCGCGTCAGAGGAAAGGCTTTGTTGAGCTTTTTCTAGTATTGCTTGCAAATACTTCCCTTGAGCTTCTATTCTCATTTGCAATTTCTTTTGCACCTATTGTTAGGGGAGAAGGAAAAAAAAGGAAACAAAAACTTGTTCTGTTTTTCAGAAATTCTATCAGATGATAAGGTTCAGATAAAAGGAAAATATGTTCACAAGTGTTGTGGTAAAATACCTCAAGTTGTTCTTGTAGTCTTTTCTGCACCTCAATTTGACTCCTAAGTGCTTCAGAAATTGGAATTTCCCTGTACCACAAATTGGTATTTTTCAATTAATTCTGCTTAATTTTGATTAGAATCTAACATTGGGGGAATTATGTTTTGGTTTTCTGTTGGTGTTGTATTTTTATCTTAACAAAGTTTTTCACTTACAAACACTACCAACTTATCTTTCAATATATTCATATACTTTTGACATCAATGAATTTTTAAGTGTTGAGTGAACTATTATATAATTGAATTTACTTAGTTTTCAGAAACAATTACCCTTGTTCACTCTTGATGCTCGACGAATTGACGCTTGAGCTCGCCATATGCATATTGTGATGCCCATAAGAATTTTCTTACACAAAAAAAAGGGAAAAAAAAAACAAAAAGNAAAAAAAAAAAAAAAAAAATGTTTGACAGGAGACACAAATATAGCTACATCCTGAGAATGAACTTACCACTGTTCTCTTTGTTATGTTCAAAAGTGTTGTGTTTTTTGCCTTGTTGCTGTCCTAATCTATACTTCTGAACAAGCAAAAGTTGAAAGTGTTTAACCTTGTTTATAAATTATTAACGGACGAGTAATAAAATCACATACACGAACCAAATACCTGCAAATGACTCTTCAAGTGATACAATGTCAAGCCCTTCAACCCCATTACCCTTAGAACCGATTTAGGTGTTGCCTCTGCAGATCCAACCACACATTCATTGAAAACCTCATTTCAAATTATGTAGTTTTTGTTTCTAAATTGTTCCATTTAAACCAAAATAAACGTCACGAATATAGTGATAAGGAGAAATGAATTAGGAATATGGAATGATTCATCAAGAAAATTATCGGAAATCTTGCGCTGAAATTATACAGTTTTGTGAAAACCAACAGACAATATCACTAAATTTCACATCAGATCAACTTATGATATAAAAAAAAATTGAGACACATTATAATATGCAAAATATTTGCCAAATGTAATCAAGGATAAAAAGTCAAAATCTCTGTTGATCACTGCCTATAGAACTACACATTAATTTCTTCACATAATCCATCACAATTCTGACCATAAAATAGAAGAAGAAAAAAAGAAAAGGGTGAAAAAAAACTAAAAATTAAAATGAACTCACTATCAGGGCCACCAAGCTTAGTGACGGCATCAACAAAACGGTGGTGCAAATCAGCCGTCCATCTCAGCCGTGGCTTTGGGTCTCTTGTCATAACCACACCACTACCGCCGTTAATTCCGTACATTCCCTCCATCACAACACGTAATTTATCCAAAATACCAAGTGAAAAAATAGAACTCACGAATTTTATCTATTTAGGTGCATATATGTACAACTTTATTCCTCCACAAAGGAAATAAACAGTAGAGAATATCGAGCAACTCAAGCATTGATTAAAGCTATAATAAACCCAAAAAGTTGAAAAAAAAAAAAGGAAAATTAAAGAATAAAAAAAGGCGGTGGATAAAGAGACTACAATCTACAAATACATGACTAGAATGAAGTTGGGCTATGCATGAATGTCCAACAATAGGAATATAAATAATTTAATCAAGTACGAGGAAAAAAAAAAATTAATTGAAGACGTGATCAAGCTTCCTCCACACAACCGAGCCCGTGAGTATTAAGTTAATTTCAACAATTGTTTATAAAAATAAATAACTAAGTTTCAACGTCAGAATATCAAATTATTTACTAATAAATCAAATCTGTTATTAGTTGGAGAGAACTACTTCTCAATCCTACATCAGGTCAAGTCCATCACACGAGCTTCATTACTCCGCATGCTATTGATTTCAATCCAGTTTTAGGAAATATCACATTAATTATCAATATTGTACTCGATCACAAAATAAAAATAAAAATAAATTCATTTTTGGCAAGGAAATATATGTTAGGTTTTGGAAGGCGGCTGCTAGGCCGATTAATTAGTCATACTTTTTCAATAAATATGCATGTTTTCAAAATAAAATTTCATATTCAAAACTGTTAGTTATGTAAATATTGAGATTGTACTATAGGCTAGGTTTAGGCCCAATTTAGGCTAAGGCCCATCTATGTATCTATATATATGTGTACTCCTCTTTGTGAATAATACGTCAATATTTTTCTCAGATTCTCACATGGTATCAGATTAGGTTTAGAGTCCAATAGGCTTGGTATTTTATCGCTCGTTTCCGACAGTCCCCAATTCTCACCTCCCGCACCATTCTCTCCGCTATCCTCCGGCGACCGTTCGCTGAAAACTTCGGCCAGAAAGGCGGCACGTGGGGCCCACACGCGCTTTGTGAATAATATATCAGATATTTTTTTTCAGATTCTCACAAAAACTAGCACGTAGCCCGTGCGATACATGGCGCAACCTTGATAAATCGTATAAATTATCAATTAGCATACAAATAGTTTTCAACATTATTTTATATTTTATATTTTTATTATATGTGATATTTTTATATACGATTTATATGTGTATTTCACCCGTTGTATTTACATGAAAGTTCAATAAATGATCCATTGTTTTATCATTTTAGCATGACATATACTTTATCATAAATATTGTTACTTATATTTTTATTATTTTTTTAGCATTTAATTTTTAAACCCATGTTGGATAAGTATACTAATTACTATTTTCTATTGTTTGATTATAAAAATATTTAATATATATATATATATATTTATATTTAATTATATGGACAATTTTAGATCAATTTTTTTAAATATGTATTAAATAATAAATTAATATTCAATTTATATAAGAAATATTAACTAATAAACTTACTAATGCTTTATAAATAATTATTTTTTATTTATACATACAATATCACTGTCAATTTGAACTTTGAAGATCGTAAAATAGAGATTTTATAATATTACAAAAAATGATTACATTATTTATTAAATTAAAGATAAATTGTCATTAATACTTAATAAAAAAGACAACCATAACTAAGTAAATAGAGAAAAAAATCATAGTTAGAAAGTTTCTTCATCTAGGCGTTTAGAAAATATTTTAAGTTTCATATTTTTTTTTATAATTTATAAATAATTATTCTTAGAGTGACAAATCTATAATCATATTCGTTAGTTTATATTTTCAAATCAGATATAAGTATAGATTAGGTAAAAAATGAAATTATTGATTATAATTTTTTAGAAAGTTAATCTCAAATTATTGATATTGCATATCTAAAAAAAATAGATTAGGTAGATACAAAATAATTCAAAATTTACAAAAGCTTATTTAATAGTTTAGATCAAATTATTGATATCACATTACTAAAATAAAAATAAAAGTCTCACAATGAATGGTAAAAAATAAATTATAGAAGAAAATAAAAGTAAAAGGAAAAATCAAATGTTATAAAAACCCTTTATTTAGTTACAAAATATTTTTTGTGGGAAAATAACCCTATTTTTAGTAAATGTCAATCATTTTTGTATATATATATATATATATATATATATATTTGTTTAAACAAAATTATGACATTTCACAACGTAGGTATATATTTTAATGTATAACAAGTCAAATCCCCCTAATATATGATGTTGATATCATACATGCTTTATCAAGCAAATATATATTTTTGGAAAACGATACAATCCCGTAACGGAATGATTCCGTGAGGGTTTTGAGCCATTAGATATGCAATTATTGCAAATACATGAAAATTACATGTTTATTTAATAATTAAAAATTCTCACGAAATCATTCTGTGACGGGATTATAGTTTTTTCCTATATTTTTATTCAAAAACTAAGCTAACCCAACCCAGGCAAGCACAACTGACCACATTAATTGCCATTGACAATGATTTTGGGTGACATTTTATTTCCCAGTAGATGCATTCTTATTATGAACATTTGGATGTATGTTAATTGGATGTTTGCTTTTTTGCATGTTGTAAAGAAAAAGAACATGAGCGAGGAAAAATCGGCGACGAATCTGATGAGAAACATGATTGCAAATTTTTTAGTTTATTACCCAAAAACGAATCTTTGATCTAGTGTCCCCCGGTTATTATAGGATTCAATTCTGAGCCGTTAGATTCTTCTATTTAACGGTGGAGATGGAAAAGGTGGGGTGGTCGGACGTGGTGTGGGGCACAGATAAAATTTACCAAGTTACACGTGTTAGGCGGATCTTAAATCGGGGGACAGGAATATTCTTGTACTCACGTGCCACGTCTTTCAGGTCTAGGCCGGCCATTCATTGGTCATCGCAGCATATGGGGGAATTTCGTTAGTATACTTGTGAATAGGGTTCAAGACTTGGGACTGACTTTTGAATCGTCTTAAAAATCGTCCGAATCCAAAAATAATTATTGTGAATTAAATCATCTCATATCATATCAAATGGAGCAACCAAATTAAGAATCGAATTATAATATTATGTATATTGTTCGCATATTTCATGTCAATATTAATCTTATATAATTTGAGTATTTTCAAAATAAAAGCATATATTAATAAAATTAAACTTCAATTAAATTTTATACTTAATAATACTTAACCAGTACGAATCCCGTGCAATATACGGATAAGAGATATTCATTAATATTTATAAATTAAAAATTTTCATTAAGTAATATTTATAAATTGAAAATATGAAATCAATATATAATACAATTTATCTATATTAATTTATTGAAAATATTATATGAAATTTAAATTGTGCAAAATTATATAAAACATGTCTATTTAAAATTAGTACACAACCCATACATTATATTCCATTCAAAATAAGTGTTATTATAAATTTTTTACCAAGAAATTCGATTTGACTACAATGTGATTTCATAAAATAATTATTTTAATAAAATTTTATCACATATTTAAAAATATATGTGATTAATAAGTATAATTATAAATTTTTATTGTTTCATTAATTAAAATAATTTTATTTTTTAATAAACATCCAAACTAAAAAATTTAAGTAGTTGTGTAATTTATTAAACTATAAATAATTAACCATTCTATTTACGTCCAAGTTAATATTGACCCATAAGTCATGAATAATTACTTATTTGACTTTTAAATTTGGGACCCAAATTTGGACTACACAATAAATTCTCTTATATATTTCATAAATATATGTGTGTATATATATATATATATATATATATATATATATATATAGAGAGAGAGAGAGAGAGAGAGATTATATCGCAATTTTCTAGATTTGTTGTCGGTTACCTTATTGTTCATATTTATCAATAATTTTCTAGCATTAAATTACAAATTTTAAATTTTATTAACCAGTATTTTTTAATATTTTTCTGATTTTCAGGAGGAATACATACCAATTTGCCGAATTATCATCAATATCTTATGACAAGTTATTATGAGAATATACTAAAATTTGATAATCATATCACCTATATTGTATAACAAATCAACCTAAAATTCGAGTTTCCTACCACACAAAATAAAATGCATACTACTTATTTGTTTTTAAAATTTTCTAATACACTTTTATCCATATCAAACAAAATTTATACCATTAAAATTCAGACATTTTATACCAAAATTGTCCACTTTACACCATAAATTCAGACATCTGTTAATAACAACACATTTCATATCAAATAAAAATTATCATCAAATGCCTCAAATAAAATCTCCCACTTTATACCAAAATTTTATTTATTAATTTTTGGCAACCTTATACCATAAATTGATTAATTAATTTATAGAGGTGGGATTTTTGTAAAAATTAAAAAAAAAATAGTAATATTAAAAATTCTATGCGGGATTTTAATTTCTCTATTTCAGTAAATACAAACCTTTATGTATATATATGCATAGATATAGATTATTTTGAAAATAAAGGAATGTACAATAACATTTACTTTAGATATCTTGAAGAGTAATTCCATGTTCTTTACGAAAAGTAAATCAAACATATAAAAAAACAAAATATAATTGAAGAGCACCTCATTCTACGATCACACATGTTGTAGTTTTATGCAATAATTTACACTTCATTATGAATGATTTGTTAGTTAAATAAACCAATCTGATTATCGTCTACAAGTTTGTAGCTCTCATCGACAATAAAGGAGATAATCAATTTTTAGATAATTGAAATTTGGAAAATGCAAATATTTAGTAAGAGCAAGTCAAAAAATTGGTCTGGATCACATCTTTGGATTTCCTCCATAGACTTTCTGTAGTGAGAATATCTATTTTCATCTTCACATATGGAATATTGTGGCTAAGTAATATTACTTGCAATAGATATGAATATTGCAGTTACAATATATGGTAAGGGAGAATTTTTATTTATATTGAAATTAATAATTAATGTGTTTCCATAATAAATAAAAATCACTCTAAAATAAAATCAAAATATGTTTGAAATTCAAAATTAAAGTTCTATTGGCGGGATTTTTTTTTTAAATGTACCAAGTTTAGTAACTTTTAAAATTTTAGGCGAGATTTTAGTTTCTTTTTTAGGTAAATACCAAACCTTTATATATATACTAGTGTATATCCCGTGCGATGCACGGAGGAACTCATATTTTAAACATTTTTTAGGCTTTATTTTAAATATAATTATTTATATTTTTCACATCTCGTCTATTATGAAAATAAAATAAATACAAACAATTAAAGATATATATTATTAAACACTTCTCTTTATACAATATTTTTTAAAGTAATATTATTAAACCTTACGGTTTTGATTTTATTTTTTTAAAAAGTCAATTATCTCCATAAGAATAATCATACCATTTTAATTTCAAAAAAATTGGCAAGTTTGTTAGAGAGATAAATCCGATTAGATAATTGATTAATTAGTTAAGATATTATATTAATTGTATCATAAAAAAATCAGTTAGATAATGTATATAAAAAAATATAATATTAATTAATTTGTTAGGAATGTGATTATAAGAAAATCATGATAAAATGAAATTTACCCAAAAAAATTTGTTTAGGATCTTTTTCTTTAAATGTTTGAATTTAAAAATTTAATACCGAATTTCGATTATATCACATAAGGGAAAAATAAATAATAAATATTTATTAATATATTAAAATATGTAATTTTGAATTTCATATAAAGTAAAAGGTATAATAATTCAAATTTATTTTTAAAATAAAAGCTATGATAAACATTTATTTGTTATCTATAAAATTTTTATTTTTTATTATTCTAATGATTTATACATTAAAGTGAACTTAGCTACGGTATGATTTAATTCATTTGAAGTTGTATCTACCTAAGTAACAATATTTGGCCAACTATTATTTTATCGGTTATGGACTTCACAAGTGCCCAGATTTCTCTAACAAAACGCGTTAAAAAAAATAAATAAAAAATAAACACTTGACTTCTATAATTTCGACCGAAAAAACTGAACTCGTCAGGACAAATCTTTTCTCGCCGTTCGTCCATTTCACCGGTGCTCAGAATCTCCAGTCGTCTTCTCCGAGAAGGAGTGCGACCAACCTTGGCGTCTTGTGGCCATCATCGACCTTCAGCCCGTCCTTGGAACAGCAGCCCCGTCGTCGGTCATCATACTGGAAACATCAGCCCTGCCATCTCCGGCCAACACCCATCGTCCGAGTTTCACAACAGTAAAATAATCTCCGGTCGATCGTCATCCTCGCGAGATCTGGTCCGTCTCCAGCCCCACTCGATCTTTTTCTCTGCTCAATTAACAAATGACCTCATACAGCCGCAGCCCGTCCCACGTGCGGCCATAATGACTCATGTTTCCATAGCCGCACGCAACCAGCAAGACCGGCCAGACACGACTAAGAAAAAAAATCCGGCCATCGTGCATCCAACGCGACCAATAGCTTCTCGCTGGAAAGCCCTCGCGATGGGAGGCCCAAGCGAAGCCCGAGAGTTCATCACCAGCCACAGACAAATACCCTCTCCATGATTAATTTCGACATTTTTTGCCCAAGATTTCTATTTTTTTTTCACTTGCATATGAGCGAGAAGAAAGAGAAGGATTCTGCCCAAAATTTTATTTTTTTTTTCACCTGCGTATGAAAGAGAAGAAAGAGAATAATTGGACTTGTTCAAATTATATCTTACCTAATTATCTTCCCCTAACTAAATCCCATTATATATTCTCTTAGGATATTTTACACATTGACTTTTTTAAAATTCAAATAATTGTCTAAGGTGGGACAATCCAAAAAAATTCAAAAAACCATTTCATTAATGGTGAAAAATGAAAAAATGAGCGGGAAAATGACATTAAAAAAGCGGGAAACTGAATTTTTTTTGAAGTTTTTCAAATTTTTTTTCTTAATTGTATTATATAGTAATAGATCTACAACTGGATATTCTTTTTCTATTTTACAAAGTAATTTTTATTATATTTGTTGATACTTTTCTTAGTCTTATGATATTTTATAATTGAAATGGTATGAAAGGTTAAATAATATTTTTTTAAGAAAAAGAAAACTATATTATATTTTGTTTGATCTTCAGTTTTTCATCATTTATTGCATAAATTTAGTCTTAGCTAATTATGAGTTACTTTTAAAGTTGATTTCATAAATGAAATCTTTAATATGGTGAACAGGTAAAATATTGATGAATGTTGGATATATTTTTTTTTTCTAAAAAGCATTTCAATATTTAAATATAACTAGATAGTCATTCAACTTAAAAAAAAAAAAATAATAAACTAGAGATCTCTGGAGCTCCGAACCAAACCAAACCGAACTATTTAGATAGTCCCAAATACCGAACCGAACTGAGAAAATAGAAATCTTCGAACCAAATTGTCCCCATTTTTTGTACATTTTTGGAGATTGATTTTAGTGATCTCCGAATTTCGGTATGGTTCAAGAGATTTCTGAACCTCCAAATCGTACTGGCTCATGCTCACCCCTACTTGTGAATTACAATGCCATACTACTCATTTCAGAACCCAGATTGGGCCAATTTCGGGCCTGAATTGCCGGTTTGTTGGGGTATCACAACAAGCGCAACAAATAATGGCAAACACTACTACTAACGAAAATAAGCCAACATAAATAAATAAAAGACTAAAAAGAAAGAATAAAAAAAAAAACACAAAACTGATAACGGAGTTTAGCCAATATTGCCTACTTCTCATGGCACCGCCAAATTCACCACCAACAAAATACAACTAGAGTTAAATAACCCACAAATCGAGATTTCCTTAATTAAGGATTTCCTTCTAAGATATGAGAGAATAAAATAAGGTCAATTGTAACCCAAATGCAAGAAACCAATTTATACTAAAAAAATATTACATATCTTTAGTGCACATCCGATGCGGGACAAAAAATTAATCAAAATTTAACAATACTCCACCTTGACTAACATTGCTCTACTTCAATTCTTCAATCTAACTGCTCGCAAAGCCTCCATTTGCACCTCTCGGCGGCAACTCAAATATGCAGAATGTTGGTCAAGTCTAAACAATTTTCAAACTTGAATGGTGTCACTACTTTGTCATCATATCGGCAGGATTTTTCGTCGTCCTGATCTTTTTCAACACAACATTTTCATCTTATATAATCTCCCGTACAAAGTGATAGCGGACATCAATATATTTTGTTCTTGCATGAAGTACTTGATTTTTTTGCTAAGTGAATAGCGTTCTGACTGTCACAATGCACTAAGACGTGTTTTTGACCAATTCCCAAGTCTTCGAGCTAACTTTGAAGCCAAATTACCTCCTTCACAACTTCAATAACCACCATATACCCTCTGTTGTAGACAAAATAACCGTTCACTGTAAAGTAGAATTTCAACTGACTGAAACTTTTGCAAAAGTAAACAAATATTCATTCGATGATCTTCGCTTATCTAAATCGCCCATAATCACAATATCCAACTACACACTGATCTAATCCATCCTACTCATAAACTAATCCAACGTCTACAGTATTATAAATGTAGATTTTATTTCACAGCTTCCCAATGACCTTTACCAGGGTCATGAATATACCTGCTAACAACACCAATTGTTTTTTAATTGCGGGCCTTATACACACCATCTCATACATCAAACTGCTAACTGCATTCTCATATGAGACTCTGGCCATGTATTCTCGTCCTTCATCACAGCTGTTTGGCGATAATTAGGTACTTTACTTCAAATGAAGGGCAAATGGTGTACTTACAGGCTTTGTCTCATCTTTTATCCTGAAACGTTGCAGTACTTTATTCAAATATTGTTTCTTAGGCACACAAAGCTAAAAGCTTGCCTCTCATTCTGTCCATGCTTATCTCCATCCCAAGTATTGTCTTAACTTCCCCCAAGTCTTTCATCTCAAACTCTTGATTCAACTGTTCCTTCAAAATCAATCTCCACTTGGCTCTTTGATGCAACCAGCATGTCATCCACATACAGTAGTAAGTAAATGAAATATCCATCATGCAGCTTGTGTAAATACACACAATGATCATGTCTTCTTCGTGTGTACTTCTGTCTAATCATGAGCTTATCAAATCGTTTGTATCACTTTTTCGGAGATTGCTTCAGTCCATACAACAATTTGTTCAACTTACAGACCCAATTCTTTTTTCCAAAAATATGAATCATTCTGGCTAAGTCATGTAAATCTCATCATCTAAATATCCGTGGAAGAACGTTGTCTTCACGTCAAAATGAGCTAGCTCTAAATTCAATTGTGCTTCTAAGGCCAACAAAATTCTAATGGAATAGTGCTTAACAATTGGAGAAAACAATTCATTATAATCAACTCATTCCTTTCGAGCGTAGCCTGTAGCCACCAATCTTGCCTTGTAGAACTTTTTGGGGTCATATATCTTATTATATGCAATTAATTGTACATATTTAATGTTATATTATATATAATTACAATTTCCTCATTAATATTATACTAAAATATATATATTTTTTTAGTTCATACATTTTTTTAATAAAAATACCTCTTTGTTATAATAATATACAAGTTAATAGATAGATGAGTAATGATAATATATCGATGTAATGTTTGGATAAAAATCAATTATTTTTTAACGTATATATGCATATCATGATTCTCGAGATATTCTTAACTAATTTGTGGATAATCATATGATCAAAATTGAATCATGATGCTCAAGTGATATCCCGTTTGACAAGAAAACAAATGGATTAGATTTTAGTATTATACAATTTTATAAAATTGTTCCAATCTTATTTTACGCAAAGAAATTTAGAAGATTAAAAGTTTAGGTTGCAAAACAATCATTCAACAATTAATCTCTCATGCTATTACACAATTTATTCATTTTCATACGTTATTTTGAAAAATAATCTTGCTATATTTTATGGTCATTATAAGGACAAACAAGATCGATATCGAATTTTGTACTTATAGTTATTAATAAATTTATAAAGTTAAATAAATATTACTGAAACAATTATCTTACTTGATAGGATACGTACCGTCAAATAAACTCTCAAATTTTATTGAGAAAATCATAAATGCATTTAAGAATCTTAAGATAATATCAATAAATAAAATATTTAATATATAAAAATTTTAATTCTCATTGTTTATTTAGTGCCTATCATGAAAATCGATGGCTCAAACAAAGTAATTATAAATACCATGATACATTACTTGAATGAAAATTTATTAATTAAATGGTCAAAAAATACAATATATATATGTATAAATAGAAATTAACAATAATAATAAATAAATAAATGTCATATTATTACTAAATAGAAATTTGTGAGAATATAATTTCATATTATATTAAATGATTTAATAATGTTAAATAAAAAATATTTGTGTAATGTACCCTATCGCACGGCTAGTAAATAAATACAGATAGATATATCTTATATAAATTATGCACCATGATAAATTTATTAATATTCTCTATTGCAAATGGAGCTGGAAGAGTCATTGTTGACAATTCTCCTGGCATAGTGCTAATAATGGACTAGATCACTTGGGGATCGACTCCTTGTGCGCAGTAATTGAGGGTATTAAGTACCTGGGAGCCATTGTGTGGCTACCGCGATTTAATTGGAGGCAGTGTCTGAGGGGCCCGAGCTGTTTCCTCGAGGACTAATCAGGCGCAAGCCTGGAACCTCGGTATCAAAAAAATAATGGACTAGATCAAAATGGTTCAATTAAATTCTAGTGCTTCTTCTATTAGTGAAATTTGTAGTAAAAAAAAAAATATATCAAACGGTGCAATACACCTTGGGTCGCTACGGAAACAGCCTTCTTGTATAATTACAAGAGTAACGTCTGCGTATAACTGACCCCCCACCCCAATCTGTTGGGAATATGTTAGTTGTTCTTGTTGTGATAAATTTATTAATATTATTCAAGAGTTCAATGTCGTCTAGTCCCCGCATAAGCGCTACTGCTTAGGCTCCATTCCTCTTTCCAGCAACTATTACAACATTGATAGATTAAAAAAAAAAAATGTAAAGCATAAACCCCCTCAATCTCATCCCTCAGCACAGCAAAACTTGGGCGGCAAGACCATCAAATGCCCGTCACCGACCAGCTTCCTGCACGCCATCCCCAGCGCATATCCCAGCGCCCTCGCCACGGGAACCGACACCGCGTTCCCAATCTGCCGGTACCTCTCCTTGATGGTCCCGCAAAACCTGTAATAATCCGGAAACCCCTGCAGCCTCGCGCACTCCCTCACCGTCAGCAGCCTGTCCTGCTCCGGGTGCACTATCGCCTGCACCCTCACATGCGGGAACGTCACTATAGTCGACACCGTCTCGTCCCACCACACCCTCGCGTACGGCCTCCTCGACTTCCCCCCCTCGAAGTTCAGCACGCCGTCCGGCACCAGCGGCCTCCCGTTGGGCAGCATCACCGCTGCCCCCTCCGCCCTCCGCACCACGTTGTCTTCCCCCACTACGATCCCCGCAAAATCCCGAAAACTCCCCCCTTTCCTCCGCGGCACCCGGCACACGCGCATGTACTCCGTCTCCGACAGCCTCAACGGCCTGTGGTCGTACAGACGACCACCGCCCGCCGACCGTACATAGGATTGGAACTCCGTCTCTGGAGGCTTGTCGTACGCCATTTCTTCTCGGGACTCGTCGTTGGAAACTTTCGGGAGGTCGGAGATGGAGTCGCGGAGGACGACCGGGGGCTCGAGCGGGGGGCGGCGGTCGTGGTTGTGGGCNGGAAGGGGGGGAGGGGATGGGAAGGGGAGGCGGCCCAGATGAAGACGCGGAGGCGGAACTGAGGGAGGCCGTAGCAGGCGGAGGCGGCGGTGCCGAGCTTGGATTGGTAGCGCATGCGGACGAGGCGGGAGAGGGCGTAGCGGGCGAGGGAGCCGCCGTCGAAGCGGATGATGTCGGTCACGTTCTCCATGAGGGCGTACCGCGGCTTAAGGAACTCAACCACGTCCATGAACACGACGATCTGGCGGTTGCGCTCGTCAGCCAGCGGGGACTCGAAGTTGCGGTACCGGTTGTAACCGCTGATGCCCTGGCAAGGCGGGCCGCCGCAGATGACGTCGGCGTCACCCTGGAAAAAAAATATGGAATTCGATTTTTTTATTTTATTTTATTATTATTATTGGAAATGGGAAAATAGAAATTGGTGGCTTACAGGGAGAGGGAGGATTTTGGATTTGAACCCTTTGACGACGAAATCTCGTATGCGCTCTCGGCAGTTACTGAAATATAGTATAATTTTAAGGCTCGTTACAAATTTGGAAAGATGTGATTAGCTTTTTTAAGTGTAGTTGCTGATTGATTAGTCATTTAGGAGACTGACCTCAGCCCGTTGATCGGTTCCCACGTATCATCATCTGGGCCGTATCCCTTCCAACGTACCTACGGAAATGATTGGGATGTAATAATATCGCAAAGCTTTTTGCCTACTTCAAATGATAATAAATGCTTTCGTGAATTCGATAAAATAGCTGGCGTGCTTGGGGAAGTGTACTCCAAAGATTTAATGCGAACCTTTTAGTACTATGAAAGGATTATTCAGTGCTCATATACCTTGAAGTGTAGCTCACACTTTCCAGTTTCGTTTGGATCTCCATAACAAATATCGACTAGACGTGAAACCTCATATTCTCCAGAAGGTTCCTCTTCTTCTGATTGAGTTGTATTGGCTTCATGTTCCAGTGGATCCTCTAATTCACATCTAAGAGTTCTATCTAAGTCGGATACGTACATTTTGCACAATTTCTCCCAATGTTTTAATAGCTTCAGAAAATAATTAATTGATTCATTTCTAACCTGCAGAAAAAATGAGAGTTAAAACCGAGATCTTTTGTACCTTGACACAGTGAACAAAGTAAACTAAGCAGGGATGTATTGAAGTAGAGTAGACTTACATAGGTTTCTGGATGGTTAAGTCTTAAACTGTCACATGCAGAGCTACTCAAATCAACGGCCCATTTCTGAAATCAAAGGAAACAAAACTTGAGAAAGTGATCGATAAGATCATAGAGAGGTGAACTAAATAAGAAAATGGACAGGCACTCAGATTAGTCCTACGGTGTAACCTAATTATAAACAAGATCCAATCAAGCCTAGATTAAGCAACAAATACCGATAATAACAAAAAAATCTACTCCTAGGTTGAACCTAATTGGAGTAAACTCAACTATATTCAGCTTATATTGTTACAAACAACCACTTGAAGAATGCATATACCTTCTAGATACTCTCCTGTGAGACTTCAACATGTGAAAGGGAAACAAATGCCAATACAGTTTACAATATTTCAATATACTTGGTCATTTTCAAATTCCAAAGGGCAGATTTTTTATTCAACCCTAAGAAATACAATGGAAGTCAAAGATTCATATTACCGTCACGAGATTCACACCAGAAAGTTTGGCACCAAGACATAGTCCAGTTGACATTCCACCACAGCCAGAGTAGAGATCAAGTAAGGCTAATTCTCGTTCTGTAGATTTAATATCCGGCAAAACCGGCAAAGGCATCACAGTAATCGGTTTTTCATCAAGACAGGTCAAATTCGACAAAAGTGATTGGCTCTCGGTAGGAGGTTCTGAAAAGTCTGTTCAGATCAAATCAGCAGTTACAATATGCTTAATATACAAGCCATTCATTTACTTGCAGGGGAATTAAGAAAGGAACTAGCTTTGTATAAAGTAAACTACAAACCTTTAACCAAGGTTCGAAATGTTGAATAATCCACACAGTATTCCATGTCGTAATAAAATGCAGCTGACTGAATATTCTTCGATTTTAGGGATACCTTAAAGTACAAACAAGATAAGCTAGTCACTAATGCATAGAAGTTGCAGCAAGTAAATTGAGGGAAAAAAAAAATAAAAAAAAAATAAAGGGATAACAATCAGAATGATAAAGGTAAATGGGTACAATATTGTTGAGTGTGCGCAAACAACGTACCGTGGGCTGTATTTGAACAACATTAACTTTTGATATGATGCAATCTAATAGGTTGTCGTTCGTCAAAGTGGAGTAGAATAACCGCCTTTTGTCATGTGATGAAGCAGTGGTCTTGAGGACCTAGAAAATCCACAGGCAGCGAGATAAGATAACAATTGAAACTAAATAAAAATGTAAGTGCAGCAACTATAATAGCAGTTACTAACTGTATCTTCAGCCCTGAAAAACCATTGGACTCTAAAGTAGTCTTCTCCTAGCGTTGTTTTGAAAAATTCCAAGATTCGGCCGATGTGTTTCTTTGGTCCTTCACCCTAAACGAATTGCGTAGGACATCAATCTTGCAATGTTAAACCATAGCCAAATAAGTGGTAGCTAGCTAATCACATACTTGTTGGTTAGATATTCTGAACATTTATTATTCAAATTGATTAATTAAATTTCAGAAAGAATAACATACAGACTTGGAATGATAAAAATAAAAAGAGAATCGTTATCATATTACAATTAATTAAAATCACAGTAAAATGAAGATAAACACTTTCAGCCCGAGCTAATTAAAAAAATAATTAAAAAAGAAAAGCATCTATAGCGGTGCATAAGAGTAAAGTAAGGATATATGAAACAGACTAATAGTGAAAAGGAAATGAAAAATTACCTTTACACACACACAATCTCCAATATCCAGAAGACAGTTACCAACTCTGGCTTGAGAATAATGGCAAGACACGTTCAATATGATCTCATCTTCTTCATCCGCACTGCAACAGAGAATATACAAATCATAAGAACACAGAGAGAATGAACATGTAAAGCACTAAGGAAGAGTCCACAATGTGTTACCACCCGATGGGTATGTATGTTTCTTAGAGTTCACTCACTTTATTTTCCAGCCTTTGCCTTTTTTCTTGCTCTGCTGAGTCAAAATAAATCGGTGTCAGAAGCAATAATGTGAATTACTGGGACAATTAGTCTGAGTAAAATCAGCACACAATAAATCTACCTTTAAATCGTATCGCCACTGCCACTTCTTCTGAGCTTCTTCTTCCGGAATTGGCTCCCCTACAAAACAGCACACAACCTTCTTCTCCTTTCCCTCATATTCTTTTACGGTTTTATCCGCATTACCTTTTCTACTGGAAGAACCTGGCCGTTCAACTCCATCCATCGATTTCCCAGATTTTTCATATGTGTTCTCTTCACACTCAACATTGCAAGACTTTGGGCGCTTTTCACTCTGCACAACCGAATCACAATTCTCCGCATCCATCTCGTCAGTAGCACCAAACAGTTCGTTTAGAATAGACTCTATTTTCGGAGACAGTGAGCCCTTCTCATTCAACACAGAACCTTCTCTCTCAGAGCTTTCCTTCTGCACATGCATTTCAACATTTCTCAACTCTAAGCGTTTTTCCTCACTTGAAGCCGCAATTTTCTCACCTTTTGAGCTGTCATCATGACCTTTATGAGACTTCTTTGATCTACTTCTTGGATTTATTGAGATTTCAGGTAGTTCAAGCACAGAACTACCTCCCTCCAACATTTCTTTCCGCAATTGCCTTCTCACACTTCTTGTTATTCTGGAGCACTCATTTTTTGAAAAGGTACTTTTTTCAGACAGTGCATGCATCTCACTTTTTGGGCTTTCAACAATATTCCTCGAACTTCCGGACCACTCAATTAAAGCAAGCCCTGATTCCTCAGACCTTAAATGCTTCCCATTTACGCCAAAATCTCCACCGCTTTTCTTGGAACTACTTTTCTTCCCCTTCTCTTTCTCATCTCCTACACTCGTTCTCACATTTCTTGATCTCAAGCATTTCCCACTAGAACCACTTCTCGAAAGCCTTTTCTCCTTAACTTCACGCGATTTTGCCGATGCATGCTTAATCAAAGGAGGCCCCAAGCACTTCAAACGTAAATCATAACATTGTTCATTGGTAGAAGCCTTCTCCACCTTATGCATCAAAATGCTTCTCGACCTCAAGCACTTTTCGCTCAAAAAGCACTTTTTCGCAGCTTTACCACTCAACTCGGGCAATGCCAGCAGTCGAGTGGGGGCTGAATTTCCTTTCACACACTCTTTCAACCTGTAAGACCTCCTCAGAACCGTTTGGCCCGGATCCACTTTCGTCCTCTTCTGAACCCGACCCGCAGAATCTCCATACTCCAGAAGCAAGTGCCGTTTCTCGGCGGGACCCACATTCTCGCCGTACGTCAAAGTCAATGCAGGGCGGGATTTTGGTCCGGCGGCCTTTGACGGCGGAGTTCTGTACTTATTGGCGGTGAATCTCGACGATCTAAGGACGGGTTTGTCATGTTCGTTTGAAGGATAGCAGGTGTCAAGGGGAACCTGCTCCACCACATGCAGGGACAGGGCCAATGCATATTCGGGCCGGGATTTGGCTTTGGCTCTGGTTTTGGGCTCAGATCGGGCCGAAACGTGAGTGGAAGAAGGAGATGAGAATCTGGGGGATTTTCTCGATGGGGATCGGTGCTGAATCTTGCTCTGCGTCTTCATTGCTGATTTTCCGGCGGCGGCGGCGGCGGCGGCGGTGGCGGAGGATGAATGTGGTGGTGGGTTTGTGGAGCTGTGAAAGTGAGGTGGGTCGAGAATGGAGAGATTGTAGGTGCTGAATTTAATTGTTGACAGTAATGTGAAAAGTATACAGTGTAATGTTGTGCTGTCCGAAAATGGATCTTGGAATTTTATTTTCACGAGTGGGTGAGTTTCTGATAAAAGTGAAAAAAGTGTACAGTGTGTAGTACTGTAGTGTTGTCTGAAAATGGATCTTGGAGTTTATTTTTGGGTTTTTTTTTTTTTTCAAATATATTTTTGGGTTGTTGTTAACGGTGAGTGGGGTAAATTATGAGTAGTTTTTAAACCGGACAGTGAATCGGTTATGAAACTCTTCAATCGTTTGACCGAACTATTGCACGAGAACTTATGAAAGTGCATACAAAACAAATTAACTTTCATAATTGAATCAAAACAAACACTCAAATAATACTCCAACGTTGGGGAATCCAAATACATTTCCTTTCTCAAGCTTTCGAATGATAATATCTCTTTTACAATGGCATTTGTGTATTTATTTCCCACAAACAATCAACTGTGCATATCAAAATTCTCGCCTTGATTCCCAAAACTCAACAAGATAAATCTTTCTCGCCGAGCTAAAGCTTGGAAGCCAATATACCCCTTAGTTCCCTTCTGAGGATTTTCCCCGAAGCTGACCTTGGTATTGAGGCACGAAAATATACCTTTCTTACCTTCTTGTAAGGCGCAACCTGCAGCAAACAAGGACAAGAAAGTTTTGAAATTTATCAGCATTTGTACCTTTAAAATGATAATAATTCAAAGAAGAAAATGAAATAATCTTGGTTCACGTAAAAGGAATAACCTGCTTAGCTACGTAGTTAATTAGAGCTGATTGAGAGACTGAACTCCCATCTTTCAGGACCACAAACGCCACTGGAATTTCCCCAGCTTCTTCGTCTCTAGCACTGCGCAATTCAAAAATAGAAAATAGTCCATAAGATTATAGGCTAAGCAGTAGAGACACAGCACAACTGATTCGAACAATAGATGTATCGGTCAGACAATATTGCAGCTGTGATGGAAGTTATTAGCTAACCAATCAAGCAGCAAAGTGAGACTCGATTAAAAAAAAAAGGATAACTATGAAGCTGACCCTAACATAAGGGTGTAAACGAGCCGAGCTCTAGCTCATGCTGCTCGAGCCCTTAATGAGCTCATAACTGAGTTCGAGCTCGGCTCGTTTATCAATATTAACGAGCCAAAATCGACGAACTATAAAAAAATACATAAAAATCATCTTTTCGAGTCTTATCTACAGTTTGGCTCATTAACTAAACGAGATTCAAATGATCTCGAGCTCCGCTCGTTTGATAGAGCCGAGTCGAGCTCACGAACGGCTCGTATAATTTAATAGCTCTACCCTGAGGTTCAGCCAGATTACAGACAGGTCTCTACCATATCTTTCAGCATTGCAAAGTACCTCCTTTAAGACTTCTAAACAAATAAGCTCATCTCAAGGGTAAATTTTGTGAACTGAACGAGAAATTACATGGGGCGTGTAATCTATATATATATAAATAAAGAGGTTGTTGGAAAAAAAAAAGTTGACTTTTAATTTAATGAAAAGTAATCTATCTACTATATAATTAGGCAACACACTTGCCATTTTTGGAAAGTTTTATGTGGATCCTACAACACTCTTACTATTTTTGGAAAATCCTCACATTCTTTGACACGTGTTCATATTTATATTAATATTAATTGCCTCACCTAATATTTATTTAGTTTATCGATAACACGTGTTCATCAGTTGTGACTCATTTTTTTAATACAAAGACAGATATTTTTATAGAATTTAATTTTATTTTTTATTAAATATTTTAGTTATAATTATTTATCTAATTTTCATAATTCATACATTACAAATTAAAATAATATAAGTATTCGTATGCTTAATTTTTTAAATTTTTTATCTTAAATTTTGTACATAAAAATTAAATCTAATAGTAATGAAATTAGATATATATGTAATATATGTAATAAATATTAAATTACAAGTTGAAAAATCCAAAACAATCGATTAAACAAATAGTATTATATATATATATGCAATATATGTAATAAATATTAAATTACATAATATAAAGAGTATTATATATATATATATATATGCAATATATGTAATAAATATTAAATTACATAATATAAAGAGTATTTCGTAAATACTTTTGTATTTATTAGCAATATCGCGATAACATAAAAATATGACTTAAAAGTTAAATGGTAGGTAGTTAATTTATTTATTTTATACTTATAAAATTATGTTCATAAAATATTTTATTTTTTAATATGCAAACCAGTCCAACATACTTAACAACACTAAACAAAGTCCAAAATAAAATACGGTCATAAGATTTTTATTTAAAAAAAAAATATTAACACAACGCAATAACACGTCTAACATATGGAAGTTAAAAAATACACCCCTAAAACCATGAAAGTCAGTTTAGAAATAGAAGTTACTACATGTTTTTGTAAGTTTTGTTAGACGTTAAAAATACATCCTAAAACCATGAAAGTCAGTTTGGAAGTTAAAGTTAGATAGAAGTTAACACACGTGTAAGTTACATTGTTGTGAGTTTGCAAGTTAAAATCATATAAAAGTTAATGCACGTATGAAAGACTGCTTGAAATACCTCTGGGAGTTGATATTGAGGTGATTCTTTTAAGACTTTTAAAAAATAAAATAAAAAAAAATAAAAATAAAAATCATTATTATACATATGCTATTTAATTTTGTTTTCTAATATTTGTGTTTTTAACGTTGTACAGGTCTCAATAAAAAAGATTCATGTAGATTTATTCAAACGTTTCATCCCAGAAGGTGGAGTTATGGGTATCTACACTTTATTGTAGCACCAGCAGCATATATAAATAAAAATTTCCCGAAGTTTAGGTATAACTTCAAAGTTTTACCCCAGCGGCAGATATAAATAAAAATTTCTTGAAGTTTATGTATAACTTCAAAAGTTTTACGGATTTGAGGACTCTTGATCCGTAATTATATCTTATGCATATCAAAAATAAAATATAGATTTTAGCTATTGAGGATTAAATTATATGAATGTTATACATGAGGAGCTCTGTACCAACTTTACGTCGTTGTTTCATGAGTTACAAATGGGAAATGACTGAATATATTAATTTGTGATGATAAAAGAAAAAACTCAAAACTTTACATCGCTGTTATAGAGTTACAAATGTGAAAGGATTGAAAATATTAATTTGTGATGATAAAAACAACTCAAAGACGAAAACGTTGCTCTGAATTTATATGAATTGCAAATGCTCTTTTAATTTTTTTATTTTTTTTTTTTTGTAGCTCCCGTGCATTTGCATGGGCAACTGTACTAGTTTAAAGGAAAGTTATAATCACAATTTTTCTACACGTTTTTGTCGAAAATAATATGAGAAAAATCAATGAAAATAAATTTGAAAATTTGGTAGGATATCCTCACAATTTTTTTAAGTTGTTAACAAGATATACTAAAAATAATTATCAGTTGAATAATTAAAGATTTGATTGCTTACTTGAGATACAAGTAAAATTAAATTTGAGAATTTGATAGAATATCCACAAAAAATTTGTAGGTTGCTAACAAGATATAGTTAAAATTATTATCACTAAGTGCTTGAATAATCGAAGATTTGATTGCTTAACCGTTTAGAACATCAGACTTCTTTTAAAAACTATTTATCTATTTTTTTCTCTTTTTACATAATTAAAAAAATCATTATTATCATTAAAATTTACTATTTTTATTAATCTTTCCGCACTATCATAGCCAAACTATTTAATTCTATAAATAAATAGCAATTATAAATATCTTTTCTAATATTTTAAATTCCTAAAAATTATGATAATTTAAAAATAAACCTCTTAATTTAAAAATACTAACAATAAAAATTATGTAATTAAAAGAATATTTTTGCAAATGCTACAGACTTTACAATCATGGGTTAACCATTTTCATTTTCATAAAATAATGATATAACAAAAATAAAAAAAAAAATACTTTTGTGTAGTTACCGATTTGCGAATAATAGAGAAAAGAAAAACAAAATGGAAAATGTATTTTATAATCACAGTGATGTGAGTCAAGATACCATGATGTTAATGATACTCTAACTAAAATGATACTAGGGATATTTTCACAAAATTAGTTTTGAATATTAAAGGATATTTGCTATTTTTTTTAGACATATGTTAATATACGGATATTTTTGAACTCTTTTATATGCATACATCAGTTGTACACATGCTCAAAATATTTTCAGTTAACGAAAAAAATATTCTTTTACAAAGTAAAAAAAAAAAAGTGTTGCCAGCACTTTATTTGAAAGATTTCTTGATTCATTATACACAATATATATTGGATGGAAGTAGCTAGGTACAATTAACAATTCCGAAAAAATAATATTTAGTGCATTATACTAAAAGAAATGAGATAAAATTTTATTATCTATTTATTGATATCTTCATCCTTATTTATTTCTGTAAAATGGATGCACTAATAGCATGATAGGTATAATAGAATGAAATTTGAGAGGAATGAAATGTGTTGAAGAATTAAATGATTATGGGAAATGATTGAAAAAAGTTTTTCCATTGATAAGTTTGGTATGCAGAAGGAATAAGACTTGATATTATTATCCTCTATTATAAATTATCACTATTTTATGAAAAGAAAAATTGATATTTATATTAATGTTATTTTATTATTTATGATAATACTAAAATTATTTTATTTAAAAAAAATATAATGTATTTTAATTAACATATTTTTGTATCGTTACACTAATCTTATACAATAAATAATTCAATTAAGTATTTATATACATATTAACTAATACAAATATATCATTATATAAACTCCTATAGTCATATGTGGTCGGATATAATTTTTTATAATATAATTCATTTTATGAATAAAAATAGAAATATATAGTATGTGTGATTATATAAAAATAAAATAAGATTTTTCTAAACTATTAATTAATGCATCTTTTGTGAGTTTTATTTTTATATACATATTTAATATATCTAAATAAAATATAAATAAAAATAAAATTATTTTAAATTATTTATTTGAAATTTATTTTTTAAATGATTTTATTTAATATAATTTAATCATGTTCTATAATATATATTTATTTTTTATTGTTATTTGTTAATTATACTTTTAAAAAAACCGAATCCTAAAGATATGAGAATGAGACTACCATGCATTAGCTATAAAATGACTAATTCCATTGAGATTGGTTTTGCAATTCCCATTGGAATGATCATTGATTTCTAAAAAATATATCAATTAATGAGTAAGGAATGGTCATTCCATTCTCATATCATTCCATTGTCATAAGTGATTCGAGAAATAACATAGAACATTTGTTTTAGACATGTTTTTCAAGAAAATCGTAGAACACATTTGATGCTTTATAAATGTTCATTCTTCTGAGAATTAAACATTTTAGGTAAATAAACTATGTGCTTCTAGAGGCTAATTTTATGTGGTTTGAATCGCTTCAAAATGAAAAACAACCCACTTTGCTTTCATGAAAATGTAGTTCTAAAGTGAACAATATGATATAATATGATCTCACCTTAAATAGTAAAACATATTAACATAACCTAATATCTAATTTATAAAATTAATTTTAAAATTATAGCCGTACATCGTACGGATATGTACTAGTTTTAAGAAATAATTGCATTCTTTTTTTATATTTAGTTTGATACCCCAAATCAACAAAGGAAAAGAGTAGGATTTATGATTCTCGATTCTAGACCTTGTACTTGTACTTGAGTAATAACATAATTTTGTCATGGGCACACAGTTTTGGTCCTCCTATTCAGTTCAGAAACTAGGCTTGAGTAATAACATAATTTTTTCATGGGCACACACTAACCTAATTTCCTTAGTTCACTAATGCTAAACAGGTAAAGTTACTTTACTCAATAAGGTGACCATCTGAATCACGGATATGAGTATTGATAAAATCAGAATAAAACTCTGAATATGAAGTCTTTTCTCTTTTCTTTGCACAACTTGAGATGTTCTAGTTCACATGCCCAGCATCAGAGATGAACCTCCACATTGAATATATTTGTATGGAAGAACAATTATCACTAGGAAAAATTGTACTTCCAAAACTGAAACAAATACGGACAACATACGAAAGTCAATATCATTAAGGAAAGGATCCCACTTACCCCATCACTGCTGCATCGAGCACGTCAGGATGGGACATCAAAACTGCCTCTAAATCAGCAGGAGCAACCTGAAAACTCACAGAGAGGCAAATGTTTAAATAATTATTTAAATTTCAACTGTNAGAGAGAGAGAGAAACAAGAATCCAGTAGTTTAGTCACTTCTCAAAATAAATGAAAAAAGACGATACAAGTTACGAAAAAATAGTCACATTTGATGAGCTCAAACTCATGTACTATAAATTGTGGCCATTGATTTCATACCTGGAAGCCTTTGTACTTTATGACCTCTTTTAAGCGGTCAATTACATATAAGTATCCTTCTTGATCGAAATATACGATGTCCCCAGTATGCAGCCAACCGTCTTTGCCAAGTGCAGCCATAGTTGCTTCAATGTTATTCAAGTACCCTGCTAGGGAAAGATGAAAATACATCAACCAATAGATTTAAGAAACTATTATTTTACATATCTCACAGAACAAACTCACTAAATAAAACATAACGAACACTTAACATGTTTAGTCATCTATATCAGCTGGAGGCATGGTTAAATGGCAAGACATTCTACCTTCATACTATACTAATAAGAAAAGCTGCAATATAGTTAGCAATTGACAATTGCAATAACAAAGAAATAATATAGAACTGGCAATCACAATCATTACACAGACTAAATTGTCATTGATGTTTTCATACTTAATGCAACTGGAACAATAACCCCAATTTATATAACATGCAAGGCAGAAAAACCAGCACTAACAGAAACAAAAAAGCTAAATTAGTAACCTTTCATGTTCCCAGGCGTGCGCAACCAAAGCTCACCAACGGACCCTGGAGGTAAATGACAGCCCGTGACCCAGTCCACCACTTTAGCTTCAACATTTGGAGACAAAAGTCCAACAGATGAATACTTACGAACCTCAGTGGTATTATGGCCACGAGTGCCCACTGCAGTCGACTCAGTCATGCCATAACCCTGACATCATCATATTTTCTTGAAGTTCAATTTTCATTTGGACATATATGAAAAAAACTTTTAACAGAAACATAAATCAGCAAGCAAACACTAACCACTACACAATGTAACTAAGAAAACCAAAACTCTGCTTTTATAAAACAAAGTGAACCAAAAATTTGCTATTATGAAACAAAGTGAACTTTGTACCTGAATGAAATCAACGTGAGGGAGCGCCTCGTTAAAATCATTTATGCTTTTCTCGCTCAGTGGGGCAGCTCCGCAAGATACTTGTTTCAAGCTCCTAAAACCATTATTCCCATCTCTTTTGGCTCTCCTAGTCAATGCCATCAGTAAAGGCGGCACAGCATGAATGTGAGTCACACCATATTTATCAATAGCTCTCACCATTTCATCTAAATCGAATTTTCTCATTGTGACTACAGTACAACCCAATGACAACAGCCCCAAAGCAAAAAGAGATAGCCCATACACATGAAACATAGGCACAACTGCCAGGTAGACATTATCCATTGGCGGATAATTGTAGAGAGAGGCTTCAAATCTCATAAAAAGTTCTATCGTGGAGATAAAGTTCCCATGTGTCAGCATAACTCCTTTAGCCCTACCAGTAGTGCCCGATGAGTACAAAATAGCAGCAACATCCTGTTGTGTAATCTTAGGCCTCGGAGCCAAATTAGGATCGCTTGAAACCAGATTGTGAAAAACAGTGCCATCATTAGGCACATTGTTGACATCCAAAACCTCTGGCACACCAATTACGTGGCACCCTTTCAATTGGCAAACCAATTCATCAACTTTACTAAAAGCAGCAAAGACAAAAGAGGCATTACAATCAAGAACCTGCCTTTTTATCTCTAGCAAGCTGCTCAGAGGATTCATGGGGGTCACAGTTGCTCCAATACTCAGTGCACCCAAGAAAATCAAAGGGAAGCAGACAGAATTTGGCAGCAAAATCAAGATTACATCACCTTGATTCACACCCATTTTGTGCAAACCAGAAGCCATGGATTTTACCAAATTGAAAAGCTTGGAGTAAGAAACTGTGAGCCCAGATGAAGAATCAATGAGTGCATGAATCCCACGGTGTTCTTTTGAGAAGATAAAAGAAACAACATCAAGAAAAGTCTCAGAAGGCAAGTTGACAATAGGGTATTTGCTTCGGTATATCCCTGTTTCAGGAGAATACCAACAAGGATTAGAGATTTCCAAATCCCCTAATTTGGGTTTTTCAATCCCTTCATTGTTTCCATGTTCGTAGCTCTGAAAGTGCGCATGAGCTTTCAAGAATGCAGCCATGGCAGCTGAAAACGGAAATGTAAGACGACGAGTGCTTCTATAGCGCAATATCAGAAAAAATGATTTACTTAGCAAAATCCCATGCCATCAATAAATAAGTGAGAGTGAGCTCGTTTTGTATGGCGTGTGATTCGTCTCTCCTCGGACTCGGAGTAAATGTATCACGAACAATTTCTGTTTTTTCGAAATTTTGAAGCCACTACTGCACTAGCATACAAGCGACAACCTTTAGAGAACAGACAAGAGGAAATTTGGATTTTTGACAAGTATAAACATTTTTTGTGGCCTGAAAGAGGAGGAGATTGTTTAGCAGGCAAATTTGTAGGGTGGCCAAATGGACCGGGAAAAAGATGGAAAGGCTTGCGAAGCAAGTAGTATTGGCATCGGACCAAACCTAATTAACGGTGCCCAATAAATTGCCAATATATACACTACAACCCCCATGTGTATTTTTTAAAAACTTTATATTTAAATTCTAATAAAATAAATAAGAGAAGTTTTCTATTTAAATTTTAAATGTTTCTAAAAAATATTTTATTATAATTTATATTTAAAACGACACTCGTCGCTTGTAAAATGTACCCCTCCCATATTATAATAATTTTCTAATTCAAGTATGATGACTTTATAGATAATTTTTTTAAATGATACATAATTTTATTAATTTTATTTATATATAAATTAATTTTTATAATATATAGGAATAAAATTAGTTTCAATTAGTATTAATAGTTTATTTAGTTTTTATAATACAAATAAATAAAATTATTTATTTATTAGATATGCAATATAGATATCATAGCGACCACCAAGAGATGATTAATTTGATATAACATATATGAGAAAGTGGCAACAAATACAAAAGCTATTAATTTCTAAAATATATTTATAATTTAAGTTAGTAGAGTGTTTTATAATATTAAAAGTCATAACAACTATGGATAGAAGACCAAATCTACATGAATTAATCCGAAGCACGAAAAATTGTGAGAACATCAGAATTCGACAACTAGAATTACAAAATACCAGAAGATGATAATCTGGGAGCTCTACTATAAAGAGAAAAATTGGGTTTGCGTTGTGCACACATAGCCGAACCCAATTTAATTTATAATTAAGCTAAAAATTTGAGTATTTAGTAACCCGCACAGTCAAGCCCAAAATTAATCCATAATTAAGTGTACAATTTGAGTATTTAGTAACTGTATTTTATAACTATAAAAAGAATGTCATAGGAAAAATGATAGATGTTTGTGAATGCTTTTGCTATGATAGATGTTCGTGGATGCTATTACACTAGTGATGTGGTGCAATTTATGGGCTTATGAATTCTTGAAGCATAAAAAAATCCTTCCTGAATGAGTTTTCTTATACGCATTGGTCTGTTGGTTATTAAAATAATTATTTACCATTGGAATGCATTCATCAAAGTGCAGCGAAAGTACAGAATTTTGTCATTTATGACTCCAACAGATTAGTGTGGGCAAAGGCCAAAGGGCGATAATAAGTAACCATAAAATTAGCAACTAAATGACATGATAATGTATCCAGCAAGACACTAAAATAAATTGTTCGGCTCAACCATCAATCCTAACAAACACATTAGAATTTGATAAGTAAAAACCCCCTACATCATAACCTTGAAAGTAATTATTTCATTTGGTGTGAACGGCCCGACGAATATAAACTTCCCTCCACAATTCCACTGTCATCCACAAATTGCCGAGCAACACGATTTTGTAGTAATTTCTTCCCACGAACATGAATTATATCAACTACATATCGAGTAAAATTAATTTGTCGGATCGTCTTTTGTTATAGTTGCCCTGGATTGCATATATTAAGTTTGTTTATAATTCTTTGAAAATAATTAGAAACTAGATTACTAAACAGGCTCGCTTAATGTGTGTTTTTTCTATGTCCAATTCAAAGCAATAGTGCAGAATTATTCACAAACCACTTGGCTCTAGCACCAAAAACTTTAAAATGAAATTGGTTGATGTGGTCGAAAACAAACATGAATTCTTTCGAAACCACTTGGCTCTAGCACCAAAACTTTAAAATGGAATTAGTTGATGCGGTCGAAAACCAACATGAATCCTTCCGAAACCACTTGGCTCTAGCACCAAAACATTAAAATGGAATTAGTTGATGTGGTCGAAAACCAACATGAATGCTAGGTCGACGTCTTCTAAATAAATGAAAGTGTGCCAGCCTTCGGCAATAGCACCAAAACTTTAAAATGGAATTGGAAGATGCAGTTGAAAACAAACATGAATTATTTGGAAACCACTTGGCTCTAGCACCAAAACTTTAAAATGGAATTAGTTGATGCGGTCAAAAACCAACATGAATTCTTCCGAAACCACTTGGCTCTAGCACCAAAACTTTAAAATGGATCTAGTTGATGCGGTCGAAAACCAACATGAATGCTAGGTCAACGTCTTCTAAATAAATGAAAGTGTGCCAACCTTCGGTAGCGACGTCCTTCTATTGTCTCGATAATACCGCTCAGAGTCTGACTTTGTAGCGACGTCCTTCTATTGTCTGATACTACAATCTTTGTGACAGTACGTACTGATAGTGATTGCAAATTGCATGTGTCAACTTGTTTGTACATATGGCTTGGCCAAAATAATATAACAGAATCAACCTACGTTATCTACTATTAACATACTATGTACTATATAGATTAGTGATGATATAATGTAACGATGACTTCCCTTCGACCATTTACTTTTTCTATTATTGATTATTAAGAAACAATCATACTTTTTTTTATTGCGGGGCCTAGACATTTGAAAAGATAGAAAATATGAGTATCAAGGATACACAGTCTCATAACACATCAGTACGACGTATTAATTAGAACACATACAGACCCCAACTAGAGTACATTTTTTGGACTATATGGAGTTACACCAATAAACTGATCCTCAAATCACATAAAAACCATGACAAAAGAATCTCAATCTCTAATTTACAAAAATAAAGAATCGCAAAATCTCAACATTTGGCATTTGAAAGAATGAAGCCGAGATAAGCGCCATCCGCTAGCAAACGGAACATAAAGGATTAGAATGGTTTAATCAAACGGCAGAAAAGCTGGCCCATTTCTCGAGTTCGTATGGATCAGCATAGTAGAACAATTTAACTCTGTTTGCCAGTGATAAGCCCACAGCCCATGGGTGGGCTCTGTATTCCGAGTTGTCCTGTTCTGAAGGGTCATCTGAGAAAGCTGCAATGTCTCCAAGCAGACAAAATGTTATGCGACGAGTGTTTATCTGTCTGGGGAAGTCAAAATACATGGGTGTCCCGGGTTTCACTTCTGGTAGCCGATACTCAGCAACAGTCACCATGTTATTTGACTCCTGTTAAATGACATGGTTGGTGGCTTATATTATTATTGTATGTAGCTAATCTACAAATATGAGACAATTGGGAAAGGAGGTAGAATTCCAATCAAGGTGAGAATGATGAACAAGATATCTTTATTTTCCAGCAAAAGCAACAAATTCAAAGGGGAAAAAACTGACCTGAAAGGTTTCACCTAATTACAAGAAAACAAAAGAGAGAGAGAGAGAGAAAGAGAGAGAGAGTTATCTTTGAAAGCTTGCATTTCTGTAACAAAAAATTCCATAAACAGAAAATTTTATATGACCCAGGATGGATAATCTCGGGATAGGACACTTTTCGAATAATTGACTGCAAAATAAAGAGATTGAGGCAGGGACGAGAGACTAGAGAGAGTGACTAGATCATTTTCATCCATCATGATCTTCTCACATGCAAAAAGGCTTAAATATTCATAGCCAAAATCTACAATTAAACTAATTACCTAATAACTATCAGCCCTACATAATTACCTAATGCGTTGAGCCTAGGTGGAAGAGTCATTGTTGACAATTCTAGTGCATAGTGCTAACAATGGACTAGATCAAAATGGCCCAATTAAATTCTAGTGCTTCTTCTATTAGTGAAGTTTCTAGAAAAAAAAAATATATCAAACGGCGCAATGCACCTTGAGTCGCTACGGAAACAGCCTCCTTTTATAATTACAAGGGTAAGGTCATGTTCTCACGCTTCGGAATACTATGTGGCAAAAAATCATGCTTCGGATATACAAAAATAATTAGTCTTGGATTTCATTTAATGTCTATTATTCATATTAAATCCATGATTGATCTTTTCCTTATTTCTTTCTACAATTAGTTACCATAAACTATTTTACGTTTCTTTTTTCTACATTACCATATATTACATTTCCTTTTCTTATTTAATTGATACATCAATTATTATAAATATTCTTCTTATTTTTAAAATTTTATAACATTTTTGTTTGTATTTTATTATTCATATATAATATATCAAATTAATTATCTTTTAACGATCTTTGATTTGACATCCATATTATATATATAAAATACAAAACATTGATATATAACATTATAAAGAAATTTTAAATATATTTATCAAACTAAATTAAAGAATATCAAATAAAAATATAAATTATCTTATAAAGTAATAGGAATTTATATGTATTAACATACCATAAAATAGTTATTTTATCTAGAAAAAAATATGTAAGCTAACTATGAACATCAAATTAATATAAAAAAATATGTAAGCTAACTATGAACATCAAACAAAAATATTCTAAGGTTTGTATATCAACTTAGATAAAGACTACATAGTGAATGAACATTATAATGATCTTGAAAAAAACAACTAAACATTATAATTAGAATAATAAAAATAATTATTGTATTTCATAAAGTTCAGTCTCATACACATTATATCTTAAATTATTTGAATATTATAAAGTTGAAGATATTTTAAAAAATATTAGATGAGGAAAGAAAACTGTATAAATATAAAACGTAATTACAATATAATCAAATTTGAAAAAAAAAAAATTGAATTAATTCAAAATTAAATTATTGAAAAATCAAGTATAAAACATGGTATTATTTTTTAATTAACTTTATTATTTTTTAATTATTAGTTGTATTTTTAATTTTTTATCATTTATTACAATAATATAAATTTGTTCACTTCTTTCTTTTGATAAATATATTTAATTTTCAATCACCAGTGTTGTTCATGTTGCCGAATAAATTAATTATTATATTTAATTTGACAAAATGAATATATATTAAATAAAGCAATTAATTTCATAAAAATATTTCCTTGAATTCGAAATAATATTTAAAAAATATTTTTTATTAATTATTTATAGGTTTTTTACTTCACAATAAGAATTTCAATTCTTTTTCACTTTTTGTCGGATAATTAGTTTTTTATGAAACACCCGTGTAGTCCACGGGCATTGTTTAACTACTAATATACTATAATATTACTTGTATTTAAAGATGTATCACTATCTGCTACATCGACTAATAACCAATGAATATTAACAAAAACAGGCGTGCAACCCCTTGATATAGTTTCCATTATTTCAATGAATGGCTGATACAAAGCCTAATACAAAACAAGAAAAGCAAGAGCACACTACTGCATGTCTAGTTTTGTAGGTTGTGTATGATCTTTTCTACAGCATAGCCAAGATGAACGTCAACAATTATGAATGGTTAAGATTTATTCCAACTATAGCAAGCATACTTTTCAGCAAGAACCAAAACTATGGATGGGTATTCAATATAGGCAATTCCAAATCTAAGGCACAAAAAAATTGAACATCTTATGAGCCCAGAAAATAATGTCACAATCGGCAAACCATATGCCAATGAGAGACCTTGACTTGGAAAGGATGGGGACTATCAAACATAGTCCAGGATAACATGTCTTTAGCATGATAAAATTAAATTATTAAATTATTAAACAAAACAACAGAAAACATGCTTCTAGTACCTGAAGGGTGGACACTTGAATATACAACACGGCAGGAGAAATAAGTCTCTCATCTAAAAGATAGTCTCTGCACTCCGAGTCCACATTTGCGAAAGGCGAATGGTTCACTCGATGCTTTACTGCACTAAAACCATCCAGACGAAATCCAGCCACAAGGGGCGAAGCAGGGGATAAAAATTGTTCCAGGACTAGATCATTGTTTATTAATCACTCGACCTCAATGGGAACCTGAAATGTTAGAAAGAGGGGGTTCAGTTTCAACTACTTCCATAGGTTTGTCAACCTGTTAACATGACAAAGTTTCTGGAGAAAACTAAGTTAATAACGCTTTCTTACCTTGAATCTGTTCAACTGAGGAGGGTTCTCGAACCAATTCCTCACGTTTATTTGGTCAGACCCTTGTGGGGATGTCCCTATTTCTTTCCTTACAGTACCCACTACTATTACTCTTTTAGCATGAATGCATGGTTCACTATCAAATTCTCCACCAAAAGACGCACGCCTGCCGACTTGGGCAAACGGGTTTTCATCCATGGACAAGAGGTTAAATTCTTTTTCGAAATTGACCGAATTAGATCCAATTCTTGGCAAACGCAAGGTTATCCAGATGATGCGGCACCGAACAGGACTCTTGAAGGCGAATTTGACATGCCTAGGAACTTTACCATCTTCAAAGGACCTCTCTGGCCCACAAAGTTCGGACGAAGATCTTAGGAGAGATTGAATATCTCATTTTCCTGTGCATAATCGTTCTTCCCTATCTAGTTTAGTGCTAACCCAGATTTGTACCTGCACAAACAGAAGAAAGACACATGTAGAGCAACAATCTAATAGGTAGTTGACTATCCTCTGACTGTGGTTTCAAGACATGAAAATGTGGACATTACCATTTGTGTGCATACACATATTTTAATTCAAATGATAGTAAGATGCATAAGTTCAATATTTATTTTAATTGAGTGAGAGATGCAACTCAAGACCTGAATTCCATCAGCCACAACTCTCTTTCCATTGGAATGGAGTAAGAAAATAATTTGTTCTTCATACCAGAATTTCATGAAAAAGTGTAAGCGGAAGTAACTTGACGGCACACACCAGTCAAACTAAACAAATATCATTGGGCATATATTTGGTTCCCGAAACAAAATGCAACATCCAGTTGTGAAATAGTTTAGCCTCTGAAAGTGTATCAACTGTAAAAGATCAGCGTACTTACGGTAGGGGCATCGAACATTGAATAACCACATGGACTGACCAGAAGACAACACCAGACACATCAGAAATATCATTTAGCACAATGACAAATTCAACAGACGAGGCATCATGAGGAGCTCTCCAGTATGACTCTTGTGATCCAGAATTTAAAGGAGCAACCAAAGATAAGAAGGGTGCTGAACCTGCTGCTGTCTCAACCTACATAATAAGGCACAGCTTACTTCCAGATAGTAAATATTTCGACCATGAAACCATAAAAGCACAAGTGTACCCGGCCACCCTCACATATTTGAATATATTAAAAATTAAAAATTAAAGGACTTTTTCTTCTTTTTTTTTTTTATCTTCAAGACAACAGAGAGAGAAACACCAATTTTCTTTCCCCAAGTACAAAGGTGGACAAAGTGACCATGTAACTCCATATGTCATGGATTACAGAAATACAAATCCATCAGTTCTACGTACTTAAGTGGTGTAGCTTACAAAAAGGCAGAGCACGGTTTTTTAGCATATCCTTATTCAAGGCAGCAACCCAAGTATGATCAGACAAATGTTCATTTTCCAGTTTAAAAGTCATCACCATAGAAGTCATCATCACTGGTAAATCAAAAGACAATAAATGACATGGGGTTGTCAATAATTATCGATCATCAGATTAAACTAATACCTGGCTATGGAGATGCACAGAAATGTAAAAGATATAGCTATAACCATGACTTTGAAGCACACCACGAACGAAGGTGAAATGTTCTTATAATAATTAGACTTTCTAATTAAGAACTATTTATTACTGTTGGTTCCAAAAGCAATCATAGCATTTTGGATACCAATTTAAATAAGAAAAGGAACAGAGAAAATGACAGAACTGAGCAATTTAAAGACAATAACAAGCTAGTTCATTGTGATACCAGGTGTAAAAAACTGGCAAACGGAAATTCTGCAAGTGATTCTTCTCCATCAGTTAATTTCTTTAACACCTTAGCAGCTCCTTGACTCTTTAAAAAGTGATCGCTTTTGAGGGGTAAATTTCTCGAGGATAATCCAAACACGTGGTTCAAGGCTTCCTCGGCAGCAGCATCCGCCCTATTATTTCTTTGTTGGCCAATCAAGACCCTAACAAGGTCCAGAATCAAGGCGTCAAGTACAACTTCGGGACAGCATTCCTTACAGATTATTCCATCGAGTGCTGGCGAGCGGTTGGAAGATGAATCAACTGAACCTCCCTGGCTAGTTAGGCTAGTTATGTTGTTGTAACCTGAAATATCCTTTGAGATATGGCCTGCAAGCAAAAGAGCTCCTTTTCCTGCAGAACAAATTCTGCAGACCTTCCTCTCACAATCAGCGCATACAAAAATGGATTCCGATTTTGTTGATGATGATGAGGTCAATGATCCATCCCCAACAAGCCCAGTTTCGGCACGAACTTGGCATGCACCACCTGAACACCTCTCCCCAATTGCTGAAACATTCCAAAAATCTATGGAACATCTATCAAATGTTCCAAGCCCAATGGAAGCAGTAATTTTATCTTCCAGTGAAGCGTGCCCGAACAATGCCAGTGTGCTGGCCACCCTGTGTAATCTCCCCATGTATGAATCCTCAAGCAATGTATTTGGGTTAATGCTAGCAGGATCGATTCCAATTGATAAGAGGGCTCGGTCTCTTTCAGCGGCAGAAAGATTCAGCTTCAGACGTTCTATTTCAAATTTCATAGCTTCCATGAAATCTAACCTTCTTTCCTGCTAATTTTATTCAAAGAACAAGATGGCCTTAAACAATGTACACATCTGATGATCAAATCATATTCCATAATCAGTCATGACAATTCAGTTCAAATACCGATTTCCACAGCAAACTCAATTACCTCAGTATACCAACAGCTATTATCCAAGCTGAGTAGAAAACGAACTTACAAGACTAGAATATATGTTTTGACATAATGGTATGGACATCGATTGAAATAAATTATTAGTTATATTTAAGCTATTGACATAAGGAATTTTTGGATGTACTTCAAACAGCCAGTCCATGAAGTCACCGATGCACACCGAAGATATAGATATATGATTGAATCAAAATGAATCAAGACACCAGTATCCTTTGTTGTTTAAGGTATCATGAACTAATTAGTTTATTTTGTCTTGTTATCGAAAAAACCTACAACTCAGAACTGGTCTACAAAAAATAAATCCAAAAACTTTTTCCCAGTTATGCTTCTGCAGCAAACTGGATTTTGATTCCACTGTAACCATCATGTAACTATATGAATTTGGGGTCAATACTAGCTTTCAAAATGATTCTTCTATGGAGGAAACCTCAAATTCATATACTATACGGGCAAAAAATATTGACCATCCCAGGAGTAACTGAGTCAACTAATGTTCTGAAAATCCACCCAACTAAAATACAGAATAGATGATAATTGGACAAGACCACACAAACCACATTTCACGTAGCCCATCCAAATTAATCACTTTGAAGCTAGAGCAGCCAAAGCATCAGAGTTCAGAAGCAGGGACAGCCTCATGTTGACATAACATCACACAGTATTTACGAGTAAACCCTGCTTTCAACGTCTTAAACACAAAAAAAAAAAAAGCATTCGTGCACACATTTATCAGTGAGATCCAGTAGAGTATATTAAACATAGAAGGGAATTAAACATATACTATAGCAATTCCACATCTACAAATTGCACGTTTATTGAAACTACTCAGTTGTAGTACTAGGGTGAATTAAACATAGAAGGGAATACTGAGGTAATTCCACAACCTAGAAATCGGCTCCCGAAACCGCCGAAACGCCTAGATGAAGCCAAAATTCGAGTACGTAAATGAGTACTCCTTAAAATGAGTACGTAATACTCAATCTTAGCCACTCATTTTGTCTAGATCAAAGATTCATGTTAATCAATTAAAATATACATAAATTAAATAATAAAAATAATTATTAGTTGACTCCGGCGTTGACTGTTGACTTCCGGCTAAAATCGTTGACTTCCGGTGTTGACTATGGCGTTGACCTGTTGACCATAATATATATTGTATATGAAGTAAATATGGTGAGGCAAAATTATTGTAAATATGTTGCAAAGTTATTGTAAAAATGTTGCAGGGTTAATTGTTTTTATTTGCAATGTTTAGTTGTATTCAGTTTGAAAGGTTAGTTGTCTGTAATTGCAAGGTTAATTGTCTTTAGTTGCAAGGTTAGTCGTCTTTAGTTGCAAGGTTAGTTGTCTTTAGTTGCAAGGTTAGTTATGTCTAGTTGCAATGTTAGTTTTCTCTAGTTGCAAGGTTAGTTGTCTGTAGTTGCAAAGTTAGTTCTATCTTGTTGCAAGGTTAGTTGTTTTTATTTGCAATGTTTAGTTGTATTCGGTTTGCAAGGTTAGTTGTCTGTAGTTGCAAGGTTAGTTGTCTTTAGTTGCAAGGTTAGTTGTCTTTGGTTGCAAGGTTGGTTGTCTGTAGTTGCAAGGTTAGTTGTCTTTGGTTGCAAGGTTAGTTATCTTTAGTTGCAAGGTTAGTTCTGTCTAGTTGCAATGTTAGTTTTCTTTAGTTGCAAGGTTAGTTGTCTGTAGTTGCAAAGTTAGTTCTATTTTGTTGCAGGGTTAGTTGTTTTTATTTGCAATGTTTAGTTGTATTCAGTTTGCAATGTTAGTTGTCTGTAGTTGCAAGGTTAGTTGTATTTAGTTACAAGGTTAATTGACTTTAGTTATTCTTTCATACATGATGCATACTAAGGTCAACGGGTCAACGCCGAAAGTCAACGATTTTCGTCGGAAGTCAACACTAGAATCAACGGTAAACGTCGGAGTCAATGGTTAAAATAATATTTAAGTAATTAAAAATAATTCTTTATTATTTAAATCATGATCTAAATCTTGTGACTAGGAATGAATCTACGTCCACACTTTAAATAAGCGGATGCATATATATATATATATATATAGATTAGTTGGACACATATTTAAATATAAAAAATTTCGTTTACATGTTTCTCTTATTATTTGAGCACAAATTTAGATATAAAAATTTTCGTTTAATTGTTTTTTGTTGTTGTTTGTGTGTGAATAATTTGCTAAATAAACTTATTGAACTTTTGATTAGCTCAAACTCAATTTATTATTCGAGCAAAAATTTAGATTAAAAATGTTTATTTAATTATTTTTTAAAGTTAGAAATTATTTGTTTCTGAATAATTTACTAGATACCTCCCTATAATTACACATATTAATATTACAAAATATGTAGAATAACATAGTACACAAATTAAATAATTGACATTTTCGTGGCCCGTGTTGGTTTGCACCATCAATATGACTGTATGTGATGAACCTTCAATGGCTGCAATGCTACGAAATATTGTACTCAGGACAATAGAAACAGTCAATTTGGGAGAAAGATTTGTCGCCATTGTACAACACCAATGACCTAACTTGAGTTGGACTACCTGCACGCGTTAAAAAACAAAAGGGTAATAAACCCATCCCCATAGCAGTATCCTATCCCGTCTGCATAATTGCCCCCAAAAATTAAGAAAGCCAAAAAATCAAGGAACCCTAAAATCTCTTCAATCTCCGATTCACCGCACGTAGCGGCGTCAGCCACCACTAGGCGCAGCGAAGATACCTCAGGCATCACCACAGCAGAGCGCAGCAAAAACACCTCAGGCATCACCACAGCAGAGCAAATTATATCGGCCACCGCACGCGACAGCAGCGCACCAAGTTCGGTAGCCCAGTCCTTTCCAGCTCAAGTCCGGTCTTTCCCGAGCCCATTCCCGAGCACATCAGGTACCATGGATCTCGAATTAGGGTTGATATAATTGTGCTTAATTTGGGTGAAATTGTTGTTTTGTTCATTGTGCTCTGAATTAAATTGTGCCCGATACTTTGAATATTTGTCTGAGATCTGTGTTAAACTCGTTGTAGTTTGGGCGTTTTATCATTTATTTTCTTAGCATTATATTTGTCTCAGAAATGATTTTTTACCACGGGAGGATGATTGGAATTTGTAATGTTTGCAGCAGTTTTTTTAGTACTGGGTGGGTCTGCCATGAGGCGGGGACGGGCTGGCTGAAATTTCCTTGGCCTGCCATGATGGTGGGCCAGCATGTGGGCCACCCCACCCTGCCGGCCCCGTGTTGATGCCTCTATATATCCACTAAATGACTAAAACCAGACATTTTTGAGAAAATGATAAACCGAGGAGAAGTCCAGCGAATTTGATAGATAGGGATATTGTATGGACAGAGAAAAACCGAGAGTCGTCATTTGGGATCTGAATTCTGTGCATAAACCCTAATGTTATTACCTATTCGAAATTCGTTTCTGTTGATGTAGTTTTAGTCTATTTGTCTTTCTTCAGCTGTTGCTTTTTAGTTTGGCATCTTCCCTCTAGCTCAATTAGGTCCCTCGCGCCAGCTTGTATGCATAAGTCATGTGTGAGTTTATTCATTTTTTCTTGAATGTTATGTGTTGGCCAATCCATCAATTTATGGACTTAGCGAAGGTAAAGGCTGATTTTTGTTTGTATGATTGGCACAGCAATGGGCATCGCCGGCTAGAAATTGACCTGATCCGAGTCTGCTAAAGCTTCTCCTAGGACAGTGGTTACATTACAGGGGTAATCTAATCTTATCTTTTGAATATTTATTTAATTGCATTGGAAAGGTTTTGTGTTATTTTTTCATGTTCAGCAATTAAATTGAATTTCCAGTTCGTTGTGCCAGTGTTTGCGTCTTCTTGTGTTAATTTTGAGATGCCCTATACTATGCACAAATGCTAAACGGAGGCTGTATTAGTTGTAGTTTTGGCAGAACTGAGCCAGTCTTAGTTTTGTGGAACATTAGCTGTGAAAGTTTACCTGCTTGTTTATGATTTGTTTATGATTCGGTTGTATATAGGCACCCACACTGCAAGATGGATTGACTCTAGTTCTGAGAATCGTGCTTTGTGGTTTACTGGCATTAAAAGAGAATGCTTTACGTGTGATATGAGGTTGCTAGCATCTACCAAAGAGTGTCATTACCTAATTACACATGCAGATGTAAATTGATGATCTGAAATCGATTCCGATATTTAGTACTTGGATTATAGTGTTTTTGTGTAGATTAAAGAATTTTATTTTCAGTATCTTCTTCTGCAAGTGCCTGTTGAGACCTAGATTAAGCAGTTAGAGACTTAGAGCTACTCTTGGGCAAGGTATCCGCATGTGCGGGTCCAGTACAAAGGGTTATAAAGGGGTAGGCGACTAGGCGGTTATTACGGTTTACCATTTCTGGTGCTCAAAGTCTGACAACACTTGGGAGAAAGTTTCTAGAATATACAGCCTTTTTTTTCCATACCTTGCCTTTTATTTATTATAATGAGATGTGGATAATTGAGATAATGACCATTCTTAGGATAAGCATTCCCGTTCCATCCATTTTAATTTAATAGGTATCTTATATTATTCAATGTATTTAAAGGATTATGCCATTTGCAATGTTACTAGAAGCCGCATTTGCATTTGTGCTCACTTCAATACTGTGATATGGAAGATTTCAATCGAAACTTAATCAATCAAGTTAATGTTGTTGCAGCACTTCCATATTCTTACTTGAGCTAGAAGTCTATAATGTCCAGTTAGTCAATGTTACTCTGTCCTTTAGTTTATGCAAACTGGGTTGTTAGTTAGGTCCATAAGCGAGATCTCATGCGTATTACCTTTATTGTTATCCAGTTTTTTCCGGGTGATAAGGGAAAAAATATGTTGATCATGCTTCTAATGTTTGACGTGATTAACTTCTTGGAGAGCTTGTTTTCTGTGGATTCATTATCTTTTTAAAAATGGGTTCTAATGTCCTCATTCTAGAGTGCTGTTGATTTGTCAGAAGGAGATTAAACTTAGGACTCTGAGAAGTAACAACGTCTCTAGATTTCCATTTGTGAAAGTGCCACTTTGCGCCTTTGGAATTTTTCTTATGATTTATTCAAGTGTTTGATTATGCACATCTCTTAATTTGATTTATTAGTTAGTAAACCCTTAGCATCTTTTTTCTCCACAATTCCCTTTCTTGCTGCCTTTAGGAATAGCTTCTCGATGCCTTCGGTTATCCTTAAAACATTCATACAGTACATGGAGACTTTTGATGTTATTTTGAGATAAGATGCCTACGTTCTGTCCAATATGACAGTTGAGATAGTGGTTGGATGCAAATATTTCCATATCGAAGAGGTTTCTTGTGTTTTCTGATGGAAAGTTTCATGAAATATATAATATTTTTTCACTTAATAACTTAACTTTTTCTTTTCTGCTTAATTAAACTCCTATTTCTTGTTTTAACTTCAAGAAGTGATAACTGTCAATTATTTATTTTTAAGGGTGTATTGGCTGGCACAGGATCCATGTACCTCTTAGTTTATTAGTTCTTTTGACTCCCTTTCCTGCCTGGGATATGTAACCATTAAAAATTATTATTATATACTCTCACAAATTCCACTGTTGGCTCACAGTACATTCCAGTGACAAAATCATATCTAATCATTCTTTTTACTATTTATGTATGTGTCACATTGATTGCATTTGTGCCGAATATTAAATCACTAAAAAGTTTTACTTCATTCAGATTTTTATCATTCTCTTGTAGGAAACAAGAGCAAAGAAAAATTAAAATGAAAGGATATTAACTTCACCTATCTTCCTTATCTAATAGGCAGTAGCCATCGACACTATTGTGTTTGGTTGTCATTCCCTTGATCCCTATGTTTTATACCAGATTTAACATTTAACCGATCTATTTTAAAGTTGCTGATATTAAAATCTGGATGTTCCATCACTCTTTGTGATTAATGTTTCCCTTTGTCACACTCTTTATCAACGTGAAAATACAAACCCTGGAATACGTAGATGAAATAAGAGCGACAATTAATAACTGATATAGGAGAATGAGTTTGATATAAGGTTGGCACTGGAATGGAAATCCATTTTAGAGTTGCTCTTTTTTTTTTTTCCCCTTAGTTTGATTTAAGGTAGTCACTTTTAGCAGCTCCAGGGACGTGGGTGTACAGTCGGACGTTTGTAATTTCAGCGTTTTTGTGATTTTCTGTGTTGTATCTTGTTAAGTTTCCCTCATTGCATTCTTCTTCTTTTTCTCTTTGGCTAATTTTACCAAAGTGAATTTTACAGAAAGATTTATTCATTGGTTATTGCAAATATGTTGAGCCCAATTTTGGATGCAAATCTTATCTCATACTTTTTTGTGACAATATGTTGAGAATTTATCATTAAGGCTCGCAGCTTACTAAGGTTCAGCATTGATAATGATGTACCAGGGTATGGAGATATCTATGCTAAAATCACTTCTCAACAGCATCACATGTTTTTCCCAACTATCTTCATGTGAGAGCGTTAAAACTGAACCAGTTCGAAAGTATTATGTAAAGACTGAAGAGATACTGAAATTGTTGAAGACAATACTTGATGCCGTTACTGATGTGGTCCATGTGGAAGATGAAATGCTGCAAAGTGCGTTTGTGGGACTACTCCAATTTGTTGATGAAATAAGGGAATTGTGTGAAAACTGGCAGCCACTGATGAGTAAAATATACTTTGTATGTGAATGACCATAGGCTTCAGTTGTAATTTCGACCTGTTCTCTTAGTTATGCTCTAGCTAATCCTTGCTTGATACGCATGCAGGTTTTACAGGTCGAGTCACTTATTTCAAAGATTAGAGCTCAGAGTTTGCAGATCCTGGAGTTGTTGAAATCTTCTGATCTATGCTTAGCAGCTGAACTCAGTGCTGCATCTACTGAGGTAATGTATAATGTCTGCTTAAATTCCCCACTTTTTGTCTTTCAGTAGAAATCTCAGTGGCGCAATACATATAGCGGAAGGACAGGTGCTTAATTTAATGTCTTCTCCCACCTGTTATCTATCGCAGAACCTTGTGCAAAAAATCCAGACCACAGATTCCGAACAAACTTCACTTGTCATCAAGAAAGCCATCAAGGACCATGTGGAGGGCCCTGAAGCTAGCTCAGATGACCTGGCACAAGTTGCAGACAGGCTGGGCTTAAAGTCGAATCAGGAGCTCCTGATTGAGGCCGTGGCTCTGGAGAAGCTGAAGGAAAACGCGGAGCAAGCAGAAAAGAGCAGTGAAGTGGAGGACATAGACCAAATGATTGGCGTGGTCACCCACATGCACGATCTCCTCGTCTCCTTGAAACAGTCGGAACTTTGCAACCCCGTCCCCATACCCGCCGACTTTTGCTGCCCGCTCTCGCTCGAGCTAATGACAGATCCTGTCATTGTTGCCTCTGGTCAGACTTACGAGCGAGCCTTCATACGGGACTGGATAGACCTCGGTCTCACTGTGTGCCCCAAGACGCGTCAAACCCTGGCCCACACGAATCTCATACCCAACTACACCGTCAAGGCCCTCATCGCCAGCTGGTGCGACACAAACAACGTCAAACTGCCAGACCCCGTGAAAATAACGTCGCTAAACGCCGAGGCTGGTGGGGTCCGCAGGATCAACAGTTGCGGCACCCCGGACAGGTCCTCGAGCTCCCCACTGACGCGCAGCCCGATCCCTTCCCCTTCCCACCCTCGCTCGTTTTCAGATTCTTTCACGGCGAACGGACACGTGTCGGATGCTGAGCGAGACGACCGGTCGGATCACTCGGGCGAGAGGAATCCGAACTTGAACGAGAATCCACCTCAGGGGCACAACCGTAATAATTCCGCCTCCAGCACCCGCTCGAATTCCAACCTGTCCCAGGGCACTCCCGTCGAGGGATCCGACGTCTCGGGTGAGCTCGCCCCAGACCCTCGACCCGCCACTGCAAACGCGATCCCTCATAGGGAACCAGACTTCCCGTCGAGGCTTGATATGCGGGCCCGCGGGCAGGCGCTCTGGCGCCGGCCGACCGACCGGTTTTCTCCCAGGCTTGCCTCGTCATCCCCCGCTGCGGCGGCCGAGATGCGGCCCGAGCTCTTGGAGATTGAGAATCAGGTGAAGCGGCTGGTCGAGGACCTCAAGAGCGAGTCCCTCGACGCCCAGCGGAACGCGACCTCGGAGATCCGTTTGCTCGCGAAGCACAACATGGACAACCGCATCGTGATCGCGGGTTGCGGAGCCATCGGTTTGCTCGTCGGCCTTCTCCGCTCGCCGGACCTCGCCGTGCAGGAGAACGCTGTCACCGCCCTCCTCAACCTATCCATCAACGACAACAACAAGTCCGCCATCGCTAACGCGGGTGCCATCGAGCCGCTGATCCACGTGCTCGAGCACGGGAGTCCGGAGGCGAAGGAGAACTCGGCGGCCACGCTTTTCAGCCTGTCGGTGATGGAGGAGAACAAGGTGAAGATCGGGCGGTCGGGGGCGATAAAGCCGCTGGTGGACCTGCTCGGGAACGGGACTCCAAGGGGGAAGAAGGACGCGGCGACTGCTCTGTTCAACCTGTCGATCAACCACGAGAACAAGGCGCGGATCGTGCAGGCGGGGGCGGTGAGGCACCTGGTGGAGCTGATGGACCCGGCGTTCGGGATGGTGGACAAGGCGGTGGCCGTGCTGTCCAACCTGGCGACGATCCACGAGGGACGGGCTGCGATCGGGCAGGAGGAGGGGATACCGGTGCTGGTGGAGGTGGTGGAGCTCGGGTCTGGGAGAGGGAAGGAGAATGCGGCGGCTGCTCTCCTGCAGCTCTGCACCAACAGCAGTCGGTTCTGCAACAGGGTTTTGCAGGAGGGGGCTGTGCCGCCGTTGGTTGCGCTTTCGCAGTCCGGGACGCCTAGGGCTAGGGAGAAGGTAACTAATGATTGTGTGATTGTTGTTTCTTTGTTGTTGGTTGTACTTACGGAACTACCCTTGATATTTTTGTTGTGAAATTTGTGTGCTTATTTGCAGGCGCAGCAGCTACTCACCTTCTTTAGGAACCAACGGCATGGAAATTCTGGCAGAGGTTGAATTTGTTTTGGGGGTGGTGTTGGATGTGTTGTAAGAAACTGAGGTGCAAGTTACAATCTGCGAATCTGCATCTAGAGACCTTTCGTTCTTCCCCTTTGCATTTTATTTTATTTTATTTTATTTTATTTTATTTTATTTTTCATCATCATTGTTATTATTATTATATATGTATATTTTTATTTTTATTTTTCCTCTGGATGACCCACTTTATTCCGTTACGTTTTCCTTTTTCTTTTTCACTATATTGAGAAAATGTTGTGTTGATTTGTGAAGAAGTTGGGTGTCACGGTTGTAGAAAAACATACTTGTTACATGTGTGTAACACTCGTAAAGCGATTGTGTAGTCTGAGACTCTTTTGAGTGTGGTTTTGTATAAAAGCAATGGTGGAAATTCCAATTATGTAGAGACGTTTCGTCATTGTTTTGTTTTGGAGTGTCATATACGTGCCACGCCTGCAGTGCTTATTTAGATGTGATTGAATATAAATTATTTTGGTTTTGATTGGATTTGTTAGTTGGTTGAGTTAAAAAAGTTGATTGAATATAAATTATTTAGATGTGATTGAATAATTCATTTTAAAAAAGTTGGTTGAGTTAGCTTTTAATTGAGTTTGATTTGAGTGAGATTTTGAGTTTTTTATTAAAATAATATTTAATAAAATAATTTAATTAATTTGATGTAAAGTATGAGAGATGTGATTGAAAGTGTTAAGTATATAAAATCATATAAATGTATGAATAGTGAATTAAAGTTGATGTGATTTGTGAGGATAATTGATGTAATCGATACACGAGTGATATAACCATAGCAGAGCTAAACTAGATTCATGCTGCTAACAGGTTAACCGATTTAAAGATGAGTCAGATCGACTTATTAAGAACATATGGATACACATGATAAGTAAGAGCAGGTCGACTAAGACATAGTGACGATTTAAATGACATGGATATGAAGCAAGCTAAAGGGGGAAATATAACAGTTAAAAACACATTACATTTTCTATTATACACTATTATACAAAGATCCCTCTACACTTTATCTTCTACACATACACATTTAATCATCGGAGGCTCTTCACCGGAGAACCCTTACATTGTGAGAATTCTGCAGGTTCGAGGACGTTCAACCGGCGATCGAGCTAGAGATCCAACCCTTTCCAGTCGGCGGGAAGTCTTTTGCGTACCACCTATATTATATGGAAACTATGCATATGATTTAGTTTTTTTATTTAAATATATATTATATTATTTCCATATATAGTAGGTAATTCATGTTTTCGGCGGGAAATGCTTTCTAAAAATGAATTAACCTTATTCTTATTATATATATAGATTTCCTATTGTAGACGTGATTTATATGGAATAGTTTTTTTCAGTCGTTCTTTTAAAATTATATCAAATTTATTAACTTGATTTATAAATATATTTAAAAGTTAATAAATATTTTATTTATTATTTTTTTTTTAATCATGTCTTGATGAACTTCAATTTGACATCTATGTTATACATAAAGAATAAATAAATAATTTTATTTATCTTTGTAATTAAAATTAAATTGCCTATTAATATTAATTCGAAAAAATAAACTTACTTAAATTAACTTAACTACAAAGTATATGATATAAATTAAAAAAAATTATAATATAAAATGATAAGTTGTGTAAGTGACGACTTTATTTTAAATATAAATAATTATATATTTCTTAAAAAATATTTAAAAAATAAAATAATTTTTGCTGTTATTATTTAATTAAATATAATTTGTTAACAAGTATACACGGCATTGTAATAATACAAGTATGTAGGTAGGGGAATATTAGATGACCACTCAATTAAGCCGATTTCTGATTCTGATATACCGCATTTTTGGCTTTTATAATTATAACGAAGACAATCGGAATATAAACATAAAATAATAAAACTCGTACGCAAGTTTCGAACTTTCGTCGTCACTTGCTCTAAAAGTTCCGGCGAGAGAAACTGAATAGCAGTTGACAGCCCAAGTTTATATCAGACCGAAATTATAGCAGCGTTTGTGCTAAAATATGGTCGGAATTTTCTCAAGATTTTCGGTTAGGAGTGGCCATCGCCGAGCTCAAAGTGCACTTGTGAGCATCTCTCTCTGTAAATTTGTATGCTTTGTGCTTAATTTAATGTTCCCACCGCAGGGGTCTTCTGTAGTTTTGTCTTTATCACATGAAGTCACTGATTTTCCATCTAAAAAGCTGTTGCTTATCCAAGTGAGTGACTTCGTGCTTCTTAAGTTGATAAAAGGAATTTTGGATATTAGGGATTGTAGTAGGCCGCTTGGTTTACCTAGATCTTTTTGGATCGCTGGGTCAAGAGTTAACTTTATCTTATGCTGAATTTTTTTCTGTTGTAATTGTTTTCTACCTTGATGGGTTTTATATCCTTATGTATTATCTGTTTGACTGAAATACTCGTCCTTTTTGGATTTGGCTTCTGTAAGTTGTTGATTCACGGAGTTTTCACTTTACATTATTTATTTATTTATTTTTGTATGATAGGAAGGCTAATGGTCCACAGAGCTAGGTATTTTCTGATAAAAATATGATCTTGACAGACGTTCCTCATCTTAACTTGCTATGTTGCTTTCATAATTGGTGTTGTACGCCTGTAACCCATGATTGTGTCCTTAATTATGTGAATACTGCAGAATGCAATGAGATATTAGTACTGAATAGGATTTTTTCCGAACATGTAGTCAACAGGTTTATTGATGTGGTTGTGTGGTGTATTTTCTTGATTTAAAGGACGAGAGGGAAGCATTGCCTCCAAGGTCAGAAGTGACCACGAATTCGACTTTAGCTTCGTCAGCGTCTACTGCAGCCCATGGTATTGATATTGCAGTTGAGTTTAAACCAGTCGAGCGGCCGATCGAGCCACTTGACAATGATCAACCGATCCAATGTCCGCTGCCTGAGCCGTCAATCCTTAATGTGAGTTCGTATAATCTAACTTCCGTAGAAATAATCAATGTCAATTACGCTTTGTGATGCTTTCCATGTCATCAATCATATATCTATTGGGGCTTCGCGTACCAGAATTAATTGAAATCTAGAGAGACAATGAATTTGGGAAAGACCATTTTCATGATTTCCATCTGTCACAAAATAAAATTTGTAATGTTTCCAAAAAGTTTGTGTTCTGACATATATAGGTTATTGGTTCCATATGTAAATTGTTAAAACATCCTTATTTTAGAGTTTCTATTTTTATATTATGAGTTGGTGAAAGGCGAAAAAATGAAGGTATATCGAGGCTGATCCATTTTTAACCTTTCTTCGTGTAGGGTTAGATGATTGTAAATAGAAAAAATGAAGGTATTTCGAGGCTGATCCATTTTTAACCTTTCTTCGTGTAGGGTTAGATGATTGTAAATAGAATTTCAGGCATTTTACTGCCTGAAATGAGAAAATGAATGTTTGAGCTTGATTCTTTTATTTGAACTATAGTAAACACATTTATGGTTACATATTCGGTAATCAGGATGGAAGAATATGGAAAGAGAGAGTTTCATCAGGTGTGCAAAGAAGGGCTGATATGCCAGCTGTGCAGGATCAAACTCCTGTCAGATCTGGGTCTCTCTCGAGAAAACCCCGCCCTTCAAACCGGGTTATCCTGCCATCTGTGAGTGCCCCGGAGCATAATATCTTAAAACTGCTTGACGAGTGCAATACATCAGGAATATAAGTTACAACAATTAAACCTGGTTTTATTTTTATTTTTTTTCTTATTTATTATAATGAATCACTCTGTATAAGGATGCCATTGTTCTGTTTATATGGCGTACAACCCTTTTATCTTATCCTACATTGTATCTGTATTTATGAATGTTTAAAATTCAGGATGGTGCTTTTCTTGACATTCACTAGTTATATTGTTAAAGTGGAAACCGTACTTATGCTTTGCTTAGAAGCTAAGTGAGAATAACTTCAATCCAAATGTCTTCGATTATTCCGGTAGGATTAAGTGGCAAGTTGAAATCAGTTAATAGGAGCATTATACCGCTGGCTGACGTCTATTTCATGCCTTTCTGGATTCTGAACGGCAAGGTTTGTGATTGGCTGTTTTTAGTTTTTTATTTTGTTTCAATTTACCTGCTTGTGAATATGATATCAAGATACATTGATAAATATAATTTATGAGAGTATTGAAGTATATGATCAATTTGAGCATAGAATTGTTGATCATAGTATTGAAATGTGTGATGAACTTTGAATGGTATTGTCTATTTGGTCCTAATTTTAACAATACATGTTGGTTAGATTTGTTAGAAAATGTGTAAAGAATGTAATATTTCTAATTGATCCCCTACACAATTAAACCATGATGCGAGTCTAATGGCACCTAATTTGTTTCATCTTATGTAAGCCGCAAGCTGCACAAAGTGGATTGTGATTCAGAAAAGAAGAAAGGAATTATCCACTGACTGCCGCATTTAAAAGAAAAAATCGAAAAAAAATAAATAAAAAATGGATCAACTGTACTGCGCCATCTAGAGTAGAAAAATTCCAGAAATGTACTCAGGTTCAAGATTAACTGGCACCATCTAGACTAGAAAAATTGTGTCATTTGTTGGAAGCTTAAAATAACAACCTACAAGAAACACGATAATTAGCATGAGACTCACGTCTCAGGTGCACATCACCATAAATTCGCCATAGAGGAGACTAAAAGAGCTTACCCGACAAAGCTGTAACAAACAGTAAGCGACAACAAGTTGTGTATATCACTATATCTACAAGACATTTCAGAGTTGGCAACCCCAATAATTGAAGCATAATCCGAAAGAATTTCACCATTGATAAATTGCAGGATCTTGATCTGCACACCTGAAGTACTTCTGTTGCCCTTGGTCTTGAGTTAAGCATGCCATTGTTGCCATGTTGACACCCAGCTTTGATTAGTCTTGTTAATTCAGTTTTAGTTAGAAGTTAAAGTCGCATTGTTCGCATACACAAAGCTCTCAACAATGTCTTTAGACAAAGGGTTAAAAATCCACGATATATGATCATGTAATCTGTTTTGTTCCAGGCGTTCGCGATGTTTCTATGTGATTCGACCAAGCCCGGGTACCATGTGGAAATGGAGAGTGTATAGGAGCTAAGAGAAGTGTAACCAACTCTATTTTATTCAATATGGCAAAATGAGTTGCAGGTACAGTATTTATAGCTAGTTTCAGATGAAAAGCGCAAAAGGAAAACCATGAACATAAAAGGAAAATGCGATTTTAACTTCTAACTAAAGCTGAATTAACAAGACTAATCAAATCTGGGTGCCAACACAATATAACAACTTTTTTCCATGTAACTTGAACAAAACTGATGTTTCAGCAACTGTTACTAAGTTCATCATAGTAAAAATTTGAGCAGCAATTGGAAGAAATTGGCAGATGTTGAAAACTGCAAAAGCTTTACAGACCAGACTTCTCCACGTGAGATGCCTCATTGCAATAAACAGATCAAGAATATCTGCTTGTTAATTGGTAAATGAAACGGATTTTGATGCAACAAACATGAATCAGTACACAGCATCAAATTCCAAAACCAAAATCTTGACACTTCCAATACCTTCTGATAGACGAATCCCAGATTCTTAAAAATCTGCAATCTCAATTACAAACATTGCAACAAACATAAAATACTAAAACGGGCTCCAAAACCAACTTGTGCTGCAAAACTGGATACAATGGGAGTAAATATCATGGAAACTTAGAAAACTGACAATCACTCTTACCGACATAAATCTCCACCAGTAATCTACTGACAGACCTTTTGGCCATTTGGAGGCTGTCCACAACCATTAGGTCCATTACTGCAACAATTACTGTTTTTACGCCTAGCATTAGCTGATTTCTTTGAATAACAAGAGTTCCATTCCCCTCCATCCTGCGCATAGTAATCCATCGGGTAATCCACACCCTCAGCCACATTCTCATTTCCACACTCCAAATTGCTACCACCACACCTCAATTTCCTCTCCCACCACCCGGGCAAATCCCCAAGCGCAATTTCAGCTTCAAAAGAAGTTAACAATGGCTTCTTAAATGCATCCCCCCAATCTATGGACAATCTAGGGCATGCTATCTGAACCCAAGCATCAACAGCATCTCCAAACAGCTCGATTTTCTTGGGCGAAAGCTCGGATATCAAGACAATCATGTAATCCAAACCTTTATCATTCATTTTCTTCTCCAACCGATCTAACACCATCGGATTCCCTTGCCTGCCTAATGTCCCCAACACAATACCCCAAGTTTTTGCTCCAACAGCTCTCTCTATTGCTCTCCTCCTATCTTCCTTCATTCCCTGATGATCATATTCCTCCAAGAACAATTTCCCCAAATACGGATCGTATCTGAAAGCCCTAATCTCGGGATTGGCTATCATAAACGCCTCCAGATGGAACCTTCCATCAGCCACGAAGATTATCACATCGTTTTTTCCTGCCGAGTTTTGTAATTTCACAGTTGGGGCGGTGCACCCCAAAACCTCCCCTCCGGAGAGGGGCCTTGATTGGGGTATCATAACCCTAAACCCCATATTCTCCAGCTCTGGCTTGACTGCACGAATCGCGGTGGAAAATTGAATCGTCCCCGCCATGATGAAGCTGTTGGTTTCGTCGGAGGAAAAATTGTAAGTCAGCTCCTCGAGAAGCTTGCGCGTGTTGATTGAGATCTCGACGAAGACGTAGAGCGTGGGGACGGTGGTGGAGTCGATAGGCACGAGGCAGCTGTGGCCGAAGTGGACGAGGAGGTGGGCGCCGAGGGCTCGAGCCGAGAGGTCGTCGACGCAGCAGGCGCCGTAGGTGACGTCGCCGAGGACGAAGCAGTGGGTGGCGCCGGCGAAAGCGGTGAGGATGTCGGAGATGGCGAGGGCGTACATGAGGAGGCCCTCCGGGAACTGGAGCGCGATGCGGGTGGCGCCGGTGGAGCGAGCCCTCCAGACGATCTTGTGGATCTCGAAGTTGTAGTTGGCCGGGAGAAGGGAGATGGCGGCGTTCAGAGCGGCGTCGTTGAGGATGGAGTCTGGGATTTGGTTCTTCACGAAGCGCTTGACCCGCGGTTTGGGCGGAGCCGTCTGCAATTGGTGTGTGAGGAGGTCGGAGGGGCTCTCGTCGGTGGTCTCCGCCATTGTCGCCGTATGTGCAGATGTTACTGCTTTACAGCGTCTATGAAATTGGACCTTGGGCTTATTAATCACTGGGTTAGTGGGCCAGTTACAACCAAGACTTTAGTTAAGGCCCATCACTTTGATCATAATAAACTATAAATTCCAAAAAAAAAAAAAATGAATTATTAGTTTGTGAAAAAAAATTCTATAGATATTATCAGTCTTTCTACTTATCTTCATTTTGTAACAGTATTTTCTTATTTTTGTATTGGTCATTCAGTATTAGACAACATAAAAAACATGTCACAACAAAATTTATAATGTAATAATTTTTAATAATTAATAATTAATTTCATTCACATCACTACTCATAATTACATGTAGCGCTTTTAGCTGAAACATTACATAACACATTCTTTTGTTTTAGAAAACTTACTGTTGCATCATGTCATCACCACTCGTATTCTCAACATTAACACTTTTGTCTCTCAAACACTGAAACACATGTGAGTTTTTTTTTATATATATATTTTGGTAAACATTTTTATAATTTTGTTATTTTTTTGAAAAATAAATAGAATGTCATTCAGAATAAAGGCATACATGACATTTATATGTTACTATTTATTTTTAAGAAATTTTGTATTTAGATTTTAGACATAGAAAACTTGCATTGTTAAAGTAGAAAAACTGATTCAGCTAATAATGATATATGATATGCAAGTAAGTTCTATAAAAAAATTATTTGTAACACCCCGCCTTGGCACGAACGAACGGTAACGAACCACATAATTTGAATAACTAACATACATGAATATAAATAATGCATATAAATATATATATATATATATATATATATATATATATATATATATAGGGAAGGGTTCTAATAAGAACTAGGACAGTATCTATCCACACGTGCTGATGTGCTTCCCCCAGCCTATATAGGCCTTCTAAGGCAGCTCCAAGACTCGCTCCCTCCACGCTCCTTAAAAGAGGTACCTTCACATGAGTCACACATATTATGAATTTTACATTGGAGTTGTATGATTACGTCAAGATTGAATCATATAGGCACTACCTTTTTCTTCCGTGTCAATGAAAAGCTAGTAAAAGAAATGCAAAAATGAAAAGGATTATTTCTTGGCCTCCAGTTTCTTATGATTTATAGCAAATTGTTATGATATAGACCCGCATAATCGACGTCGATTGATGATTAATGGACCCCATTCATTCAATGGATAACATCATAACATGAGAACGATACCACCTCAAATGTTCTAAACTTACGTGTTATAGGACAATCCGAATTATCATCTACCTGGGTCCATTTTGAATCTATTTACCCCTGGAGCCGATTGTTTCAATGAGTATTGTAATGCAATTCAAAAATTACCCTTGGTACTCCTTTTGATTTTGTGCATTAATGTCCGTATAACAGAATTCAAACCATCTCATTTTGTAACAATGTGTTGCTATGTTTTTGTGGTGTAATAGATGTTTGTTGTTGGCCATGAGAGTTAACTTTGACTAACTATCATCATCTCAGGATATGTTAAGAATGGAGAATATTATCTGGAGAGTGATTGCAGGCTTGCAGCACATGTATATATTTAACTAGGTAGGAATTAGGATCAAGAGCGGTTGTACAGTTCTTAGAATCAATTTGAATGTAAGGACATGCCAAAACCCTTGAGGTGGGAACCTAGAAAAATATCATCTCGTTCATATGAACACACAAACGTTTTATGATTTTACATATTCATTTGTTTCTGTGTATTTATGGGATTGACAATTTTTTATTAGCGTATGATGAGTTTTTCTGCTCAGGTTTGCCGGACTATAAACAGAGAATTGGGGAAATCCATGGAAGATCTCTTCTTTACTTTTGATAATATTCCACTGGCTACAGCATCGGTAAGACTCGGATACTAAAGTTACTGAATAGCGAAGAAGGAGAAACTTTGAATATTAACTGAACCTTAATGCATGTATTGGGTGATGGAATAAAGATCTTGAGCAGATGTAAAATGTTGTTTATTGTTTCAATATTCATATAAAAATATATGTTTACTTGTTTTTTGCAATTTACTTCCTTGGGGTGCATAACTCTAAAAGAAGGGATGTGATACATTAAATATAAGGGTTTAATTTGTACAGTACTTCATAGTGGAGGTTTCTACTTAAAGTCCAGGACAGTCATGATTGTTTGAAACTATTTGGATTGTTTTTCAACAAAGAACATATAAAAAAGATATATAACTGTTCCTAGGTGTTGGACCCTGATCATTCAGCCATTGTTTTCATGTTATTCTTTATTGAACATGTTAGAAGACATGTTTGTACCACATCGATTTGTTATTGTGTAAAAGTGTGGGTTGGGCACGCTCTCCCTTTGGGCTAGCTTTTGGGGATGAGTTCTACCCAAGCCAATTTGTCATGGTATTAGAGCACCCAGGTTTTGTATGTTTGGATGCATGGTGGGTCTTGGACCCAGCACATTTGGTTTGGCACGCTGCGTGTAAGGGCGGGTGTTAGACGACATGTTTGTCCTACATCGATTTGTTATTGGGTTGCTATTGTTGATAAGTGTGGGTTGGGCACTCCCTTTGAGCTATCATTTGGGGATGAGTTCTGCTCAAGCCCATTTATTAGAACACTAAGTTATAATTTGTTACAAGTTATGTTTGTCCCACACCGATTAGTTACTAGGTTGTTATTGTATATTCATGTGGATTAGGCACCCTCTCCCCTTGAGCTCGCTTTAGGGGATGAGTTCTATCCACGTTCATTTATCATGGTATCAGAACATTCGGGTTTGTTTGTTTGTTTTGATATGTTTGGTTTTGGACCCGACCCATTTGGTTTGGCATGCTGTGCGTGAGCAGAGCCGGTCGTAACCTTTCTTAGGCCCTGGGCCAAATGTAAGAAAAATGCTCCTCTGAAAAAAAAAAAAAATCCCCTCCTTTTCGTTCTATACGATGAAATTTATGATATTCCAACAATTACTTTGTCTATCCATTGAGTAACTTTGGATGGATTAATAAAAATAATTGCCCCTCATTTTTGTTTATTTCAATACAACAAGGTAAATAAATAAGTTATAAGAAAATTTATATGAACCTAAAACATAAGTATGAACACTATTATTTACAAAATTATATAATTATGTGTAAATTGAATATTACATTTATATACATCCTTATAATTTTGTGGACAAAAATTAACTTTCCTTTATTTTAATGTAATTTAATTTAATAACAACTCATATTATTTTACACTTTGTTACTTAATTAAATAATTTTTTATTCAATGAGTTGTAAATTTTTTAGAATAAATAGTGATTATAATTTATAATACATAAACTATAAAGATACGCAAAAAATAAAAAAATAATCTAATAGGAATAGAAATAAAGATGGGTTGGTAGGTTCTCATCTATCTCAGAAAGTTTTGTTCATTTTAATTGTTAGGCATTTAATTTTTTTGTTGCAATTAATGTTTGTGAAAAACCTGCTTATATATTTATTTAAATGTCTTGGGGTTCTTTGGGAAAAAATGGATATGCTAAATGTAATTAGGCCCATCGTATTGGGTCGGACACAATCATCACAATATCAAATTCAATACTTATTACTATTATTTGTATTGTTAATTGGGCAAACAAAGGCCCCAAGAATTGTGCCCCCTTCGAATTGGGCTCTTGGCCAGGGCCGGCCCTGATAACACGTTGAGCTTAGGTGACAACTCCGCATGCTTCGTAATCTTATGAATATTATGTTTTGTAACATGGTTCGGATACAAATTAATAATTTTTATACCAAATAATTTAGGCTTGAATTGTCATAAATACACATATTTAAATAAAACAAATGATATTTTATATAAGTTAGTTATTGGAATTTAAAACAATATTATAAATTCACTTAATTATTTATCATAAATTGCTGTATATTGTTATGTATTTAATTTTTTCCTACTTCAATAAAATATATAAATACTTTTTATCTTTCATTTTTTGATGTACATTTAGTTCTTTTATCAAACAACCGTGTTTCGTACTAATAGATAAATAAAGAAAGAAAAACTTGTCATTATCACTGGGGGTGAGCATGGAACGGTTCAATTTGAAGATATAAAGAAATTTCAAATTCCGAACCGAAAATCTAAGATCATCATAATCCAATTTCTATAATTTGTACAAAAAAATGGGATGGTTCACTTCAGCGAGTGCAGTGGAAGCTAATCCGAAGTTGTTCAACGGGTGCTGAATAAGCTGCAAGAGACATTTTCTTCATCTTCAATATGTTGTTGTGTTGATTCTCTACAAATTGCTAACCTGCTCAATGAGAAGAGAAGTACAGACAGTGAAGTGATGTCTATTGTAGCTGATATTTTTATGTCTGTAAAAAGTTTGGCTCTTGTTCTTTCTTCTTTGATAAGTTTACTTGTTCTATTTCTTTTTCTTTAGCCTTGGAGGCTTTCGAGAGAGATTAAGGTTTAATCTATCATTACTTGTAGTGGCTCTATTTGCTTGGGTTGTTGTTTGGCTTGTATCCAGTTGTATCCAGTTGGGTGTCCGTTGTTAGAACTTTTATGTTTGAGTTTATATATTTGCTTGCTGGGTGTTGGAAAAAATAAAAAACATAATTTTATTTTAAAAATAACGTGATATGTAAAAGAAAAAAAATACTACCCACGTGCAGTCGTGCATTATAAACAGTCTTGTTATGAAGCCAACAGTTGGCTCCATAGTGGAACCAACATTCTATATACAACAAGTAAACCGTACCATATTAATAAAATTATTAATATTTATTTAAGTAATCAGAGAGTATGGTATAATTTATTTGTTGTATATAGAAGGTTGACTCTATAGTAGAGTCAACTGTTGTGGCAATATAAATTGTTCATAGCATTCATGTAGCATTAACTAGAACTCTGACAAATACCCAGTTCACATGAAAGGGGAATTTGAGGTGAGAAAAGCATTTAGTTGTGAACGAGACCATTTTCACAAACTCAGCTAAAATAAATTTTTGGCCAAAATTTAGTCGAAGGCCAGGGGAGACCGAAAAAAGGCAAAAAGTAAAATAAAAATAAAAATAAAAATAAATCAAAGTTAGTGCCCTAGGGAGGCTGAAAATCGAACCTAGGCTGGATCAAATATGGTCTATGCAGCCAAAACTTGGGTAACAAAAGATGGCGGGGCTCAAGCCGCTCAACCAAACTTAATTAGATGAAAAAATAAATTAAAAATATAAATAAAAATAAAAATTGAAAAATATAACAGGGAAATTTCTGAAACACTAAGGACGCATTTGGATATGGATCATAACCGGTTTTAATGTGTTACCAATCAGCACTAAACACCACCAAAGTACACTCCACAGGGGTGAAACTGAAACATAATAAGAAACAAACAAAAGCTGGTACCAAGTGAAACCAAATTCAGGATCATAAACGCATTAAAAGCAGGGCAGAAAACAAGGGCCCTGAACAAACAAAAAGCCTCACCTAAAAACCAATTACTAGATCAGAATAACATTAAGAAAACGCCAGGAAATATGGGGAACCACACAAACAAAGGTACCAACTAAAACAAAAAACTGGAATATTAAAAAATGGGGAAAGAGGTGGAGGACATAAGCAAAAGCCCAACTATAAAATAAATACTGGGTCAGAATTGCTTTAAGGTCAGATAAGGNAAAAGATTGCTTTATTTTTGCATGTTTCGAAAACACCGCCCGTGTAACTGATATATTTCACCACCCAAGCCTCATGAATTCAATGATCTTGAAAAGGCCGTGAGTGTTGCACCCCACAAAACAAATGGCCCATTAACGACCATAAAACACAATTTAAATTTGCCTTAAAATAGACATAACTCAGCCACATAGAAAACTGGTTCAGCCGGATAATCTAACACAGTTCTTAAGTTAAAAACCCAAGTGAGGACAGCAAAACATGTAATTATTTAAAACAAGAGAAAACTTAAAAGGAAGAATGGGTACTCAAACTTAAACCCACCATAACCCCTCAGAGTTTGCACTTTAGGCATAAGCTAGGAGCCGCCAGTCATACTCCTGGCTTTATATGCATTACAGCATCTTATTATTAGCTTACCAGTCACTTGCCCTGGTAATAGGCAAGCTTCAGGCTTAAAGATATTTCACCATGCCACGACCCTCGACACTCAGCTTAGTAGCCTGTAGTTGCTTTCTCTTTGGTGCTTTCAACTGCTGCAACTTCTTGTTCATCTGCATGCATAGAAAGTTTTTCTGAACAAGAACCTCATACATGGATAATAAGCCAGTCAAAATCAAGAGTGATTGATCATGGTAGAATTACAGAACTTGCAAACGACCATTCAACGATCATAAACCCAGTCAACAGCCATTGTTCAGAACACATACGATACCAAAACAACAAATATTACAGTTAATTCAAGAGAAAAATTGACAGCACTAACACAGAAGTTATATTGTCCAAGTTTTCCGAGTAGGTAACATATCCTAATTCATCCTTTGACATTAACATCAGTTCTTCTTCTCACGCTTATTTACAGCTTGATCATGCTAATAAGCCATTTCAGGAAAAAGGGAGAGCAAAATGTACAATTATTACTCTTATGATCCACAAAAATTACACAATTCTCAATAATTAAGAGTGAGGGAATCATAGCACCTTGAGAAGAAATATGACCAGAGAAATGCAATGCCACTACACATTTGAAATCCACGAGGAAAAGTATGTGAAGCATTTACGTGTCAGATCATGTTGACATAGATACACATGTAAACTGATCAAGGAGAGAAAAAAACAAATAATTCATATTAGAGTATATCTTTGCCCTAAAAGGATCCATAATGATATCAAAATACAAACAATTGCCACCAGCTCCTGCGAGAAACCCAATTTATCACGAGGTTTATTTCAAATGGGAAAATAAACCAACCTTTGCGCGACGCGGGTCTTGAACCATCTGTTTAGACCGGGCTCGAATTTCATCTGGATCAACCTTGGATTGAGGACGCACCACAAAGTCCATGGACATTGCTTCTGGCCTCGAAGCATGCTGCCTAGAAGATGACTGCCCAGATTTCGATCCCCTTTAATGCAAAGACATGCTGAACTTAGATGTATACTTAATCACATATATAGACTAGAGTTAACTAATTGCAAGAAACGAGACTAACAGACAGAATAAGAAAACTTACTGAGAAAGTTTGGCCAAATCAAGGTCATCATCTTGAGAAGACATTCCTGCTGCTTTACTGACCCTGTAAAAGATTCACGAAGCCATTGAGTTAGTCTGCGGATAGATTCTTTAATGAATATTCGAGCAGTCTTATTCATGAAGGAACTATACATACTTCTTAGTGGGCGGCCTCCTCAAAGCCCTTTCATCCTCAAAGTTCTTCATGTCCTCAAACCTAGTGCTCTTGTTGAAAATTGGTCGGCTCTGAATAAATACATTTGGAAAATGAGTTATTATAAATGCATAGACCAACATGAATATTCTCGATTACCATTTCAAATTTCTCAAATTGATGCACAAGAAAGGGAAATTGATGATTAGTAAAGGCTTTGTTTTCGTAGACCAACATTTATATATATATATATATATATATCATTGAGTTCTCTATTATCCTAAAAAGGCTATAAAAATTACGGTGATGCACTATTGACAAATCATTCTGCTTTTTATGCAAGAAAACATCCAAAAAAAATACAAACAAAATACACACTGATGACAAATCATTTTGCTTTGTATGCATAAAAAACATCCAAAAATGACCATCAATCCACCTCCCGCCAAAGATACCAAAGAAGGAAGCGGAAAAAGAAAAAACGAGATGACGTTCAAGGTTTAGGTAAGTAGAAAAGGACAATAATATCAGTAGCAATTACCCATTTATCAACCAACTCCTTAGCCAGTTTCCTGTTGGATGTAGTCTCCTCGTCAGATTTTGACAGAAACATAATGACCTGCCCAAACCAACAGTCAACATTAACCCTGTTAGTAAATAAAACTATAAAAAATTTTAAAAATTGACTGCAACATCTAACAAAGTCTGACCTTCCCAAGTCCGCTCTTCTTTAACTGTTCTCTCCTATCATACTGCTCCAAATCAATTGGAAACTGCAAGCAAGAACAAATTATTTGATTCTAGACTATTTGTTAACTTTAAAATGTTATATTAGATGGTATTGCGGGACACCCTATTCCTACATCATTCAGGATCTTCAGAACTGCAGCCCGAATGTTTATATTGGGCAAGCTTCCATCAGGTAGTGGCTCAAGCCAGTTCTTTAAGAGCGTCAAAACTCCATGATCTAGAAATTCATGCTGAAGCTGCTTTCTACATAAGAAGTAGCCGAGCAAGCAAATGAGAACAATACAAAAGATCAAGTTCGAAAACTGAACAAATAAAGAACAATCAACTAACTTTGAGAGGACATCTTCAAGGAGAGAAAGCTTCCTCAATTTATTTATTGCTGGCTTTCCCTGCCGATTCAGCTCAGCATCTTCTTCTGCCACAACTTCCAATTCGGCCATGACATTTTCAACCAACAAGGCAACTTCTGCAGCGCTTTTTTCATTTTTCTTCTTCTTCTTTCCCATCTTGAAAAGTTCGTTAATTTCTTCATCCTCATCTCCTTCTTCTGCCTAGATTACCAGAATAATACCAAGTGAGTACTCAGTCTCAATAATTAAAAAAATTAAACAAGAAAAAAATCATATTGCAACTCCAAAATATATGCGAGATAACTAGAATTCTGACAAATTATGTAGGAGATAATAACTTATAAACACATATTTAATTGAAAAAGAAAAGGCAACATCACTTATTGACAGATAAATTCATTGAGTCAATTTAATTCTTTATTATAGATCAAAAGAGACTAACCGAAATAAAGCAGTTAATGCATGCTAGAACAAGTGCGACAGAGTTCTGAGGTGGGGGTGAGGTCTACAACAGAGAGAGATACATAAAGCAAAAGGACCTAACAGATCTACTGACAATGCGTCTCCGATTTTGGTTATAAAACTTCTCGGAAGAAAACATCCAATTACTATGCTTCCAATAATACAAACCCCACAAAATTAATATCAATCATTTGAAGTCCAACGAGTAAATGATCCACTCAAAATCAAAAGAAACTGGATAGACGATGACTTAGAAAAATAAATAATCATACAACCTTCCTTCTCTGCCGTGGACTCATCATTGGAGGATTATAGAACTTAATTTTGCTCGTCATACTTGGGAATAGAGGAAAAAAGAGAAGTGGCTGAAGTGACATGGGGAATAGAAGAAAAAAGAGAAGTGGCTGAAGTGAAAGGTAAATGGGATATATGCCAGATAGAGATAGAAACAAATAAATATGTCTTCCGGGGCTAGATTTTTGGTTACGCGGCCCATTATCACTAAAAAGTAAATAAACTAAATCCAATTTGTAAATCATGTAATAATATATGTCAATTTAAAAATCTGTAAAATCCCATTTGAGGACAAAATAAATAAAGTTAAAGGACAGTAGATTTACTCATCGAAAGAAAAGACAAGTAAATGCTGAACTATACGGAAGGGGTTATTAAATGTGAGTGAGAGGGAGAAAAACACAAACATTATCCGGTCTAAGCATGTATATTTAGTATATAAGTATATATGGTCTAAAAGAACACATAATATATGTGATATATACTGTGGTCAAGAAAGACCTGGCATAAAGTAAAATTTATATATGTATATTTGTTGAAGAAAGAGCAATTAATCCTGTAAACCCCTTGTCTCAAAACCTCATCAAAGAATAGATGTCAACACAAACAGAATTCTGGACAAAAAGATGAAAGTAATTAAGGCTCTTATAATGGAAAAAGACCTTTACAGAGAAAGTAATTCAGAAAAACTAAAAAGAATTCACCAAAACAAAAATCATTATGACCGAGCACTAAATGGGAGGATACGGTAATAGATAGACACAGATAATAATCACACTCTGTGTGGGATGTATATTTCCGTCAATTTCTAGGCATTCAAAAAGAAAGGTGACTGGACAGCAGCAGTGCATGTGTAAGGAGAGTTATGTACTAGTGATACACACAAATTCTTGAGCAACATTTCTAAATTCCTATATTAGATGGACATATGGAGAGATTCATACAATTGAAAACTGTTCTTCTTCATCCAATTAGTTATAGGAGAAATTAACCTTCTATGTCTTGGACTGGGAAAATTGCCTAGCTGAATTTAGCACATACAAAAGCCAGTAAAATTTCTCTCTACAGAAATAAATTTTATATCAAAGACATTCTTAACTGTGAGGATAATCAGGCAGTCAGAAGAAGAAAGGAATAACTAGTTGAGATGCAGGCTAATTCAATTCAACAAAACAAATCTTTTAATTCCAATCAATTAGATAATCAAACCATGTTCGGCAGCTCTACAAACTCATTTTACAAAGAGTTAACAAAATACATGCTTGTCCTGAATAATTCAAATATTCATATTTCATAATCAGAGTTTTATCTGCAAACCTTTGAATATTGTAATGTGGCTCCCATTATTAATATAGACAGGTGCATTATCAACAAGGCTTCAGTCTTTTTAATACGATCACTTCAACCCAATAAAACCTTGATGTGAGGATGAAAAAAGTTGTGCTACTGTAAATTCCGGGAGTTAAACAATAGTTAAAAAATCTTGTTCATTTAAAAGATCATACAACCGATTAACTAGTCCAAATAAGATAGAATCCAAACCTGCGGGGCGCGACTTGGAGAATGTTCATTGTCACTTCCATAACGGTGAGCAGGGTCCACACCGCTGTCATCTATGAAGTTATCATCATCCAGAGTCCTAACACCCTCTTGATCATCCTATTAATTAACCAAAAACCAAGATTGTTGGTATAAACACAGAAATGAATCGGTCATGTGTTTGGTTAATTACATTATTGTAGTGAAAGAAAACATGATTTTTCTTTCTTTCAGTAAAATAAAAAGAAAATGAAGACAACAACTTAATCTGCGGAGCAGCTGGAGATGGTGAAATGTGAGAAACAATAGACAAACAACACCTATTAACAAGTGTCACCGTGACAAAAGAGATAACATAACATCTAAGCTTGGTCCGATGATCTAATACAGCACCATCATCAAAATACAATCTACTCAATTAGTATATGACCCTCCTCAGAACTCTAATGGAAGCTATGGGAAATATCTAACATCCGATAAATCTCTAATCAGAAAAGTGGGCTGACGACAACCTGTCAATATAGGCCAGCCTTTGTCCTGACATCCATGACTTCCATTAGAAGCTTTATGAAGAGAATTTTATGAGTTAATGAACAGTTTATATCACATCCTAGCATCAGAATATTCAGCCAACCATCATAACTCATAAGATGAGTGAACAATTTGCAATAGACAATTCGCATTGTTTGACTCCACTGTTTTTAGTTTTTCCAAATCCAGCCCTCAATACAATTCGCTAAACTGACTTCTTCACAATTGACAATAGTACCTATTCCGTGGACAGTACATAAAATTTACAGGGAGATCAAAATGTGTAGGCAAGCAATAACACAACACCACAAATGCCAAGTATCTCCCTTAGAATTCAAGTTGAACAAGTTTAGTGCATCAACAAACAATATGCCCCTCCACCCCAATTAAAAAAATTGGGCTTCATATTTCCCCTTTGGCAATGGAAAATGGATCTGGATTCACAAAATATATGTACAAAAAAGAGTGTATAGTTGGCATTTCAAAAGGTAAAATTTCTATCTAGCTCCATGGATTACCTCACCAAGTATCTATAACTTATTATCGAAAATTTCAAACACAAAGAAAATGGAATCCCTGGCATGGTTCACCAAACCCAGCCCTCAACACAAATTAATAAATGAAAACAATGGGTAAATCCAAGTGAAACAAATGCGATATCCACCAATACTTCATACATACATAACAACATAAAAAGACACCACACTGATTCACTAAGTTTCCGTCAATCCTTCACCTTTACAAAGAAAGTCTAATAACCAGATCAACAGCTTCACAAAATTCAATACCGGATCACACGCACCGCCAAGGACTCACTAAATTCACTTCAACAGACATATAAAACACATAAAAGAAGCTCTGCATATGCAAAATTACATCATCCAAGTGAATGGTAAGGTAAACAAAGCACCCATAATACAAACAAAGAGCAACACAAACCTCAGAATCACCACCAGCGACGGTATCCCACATCTCTCTTGTCTCGGGATCGGCTGCCTGATCCCTCATTCTCTCTCCTCCACTCTTCATCAACTTTGTCTTCTTCTCCACTCTCTCCCCCTTCCTCTTCTTCTCCAGGCTCTTCAACTTCTCCCCTCTGTCCTTTTTCCTCTTCCCTCCATCCGAATAGTTTCCCCTAGCAATTTCATCCTCTTCACCACCATAATCCCCGCCAACATCACCTGTGTCGTCATCCAACCCAAAATCCAATGGACCGGATTCATTACCAGATGAAGATTTTTTAATCAGTCTCTTCCTGGGCTTCGACTTGGAGTCGTCATACACTGGAGTCGGGGAGCGATCATACCCCACATCATCGTCCAGGAAATGCTGCTGAGGCTCATCCCCATCCGATTGAATATCCTCATCAAAGTCCATCAATGGCTCGCCATCCTCATCACGGTAACTGCATATGCAAACCCCATTCAAAAAAAAAACCTAATTTAATTTCAAAACACACCAATTCGCACACACACGCACACAAACACATACCCAGACCGAAAGCCTAATCGCACGTCAGAAAAAATGAATACACAGCCTGAAAAGCCTAATTCGCACACACTAATTCAAAACACTTACGGATCGTTTTCATAACCCATGATTGATTTCGAGAGGTTAATCGTCAGAGCTCCAGCGGGAGTGATAAAACAAAGCTGTACGCTAATGACGTATGAGCGTATATGTATACAATTACAAACGTTATATACACACGTTGTAGTCGAGGGCGTTATGCTTTGCTGGGTTTTTTTTTTTTTTTTTTTTNAACTTATCTCGTTGAGATTACAGCATCACAAAATCAATCGAGGCAATAATCTGACGGGAAAAACTCCCAAAAGAACAAATACAGTAATAACAAAACTAATGCGTAATTTGTTGTCCGATTGAAAACCGCGGGCCTGTCGGGAAAGTACAGTGGTTATTTTAGAAACCGACCGGTTCATTAGTTGACGAGTTGTCGAGTAATTTCGTTCCTTTTTTATTTTTGGAGAGGTGGGTGCTCACGAGCAATTAGAGACAAACATCGTGGATAAGAGATACCTCTTATGTCATGCTCGAGCCACAGACGACACCACAAGGTGGGTTAGAAGTCGATGACACTCGAGAGAGGTCGAAGCCACAAGCTGCTAAGTAGTCCTTAGCAAAGTTCGCCTCGGAAATCTTCAACTGTCAATCTCGAGTGACGAGCTCTCTTATCCTTATTACCAAACCATAATGGACCCCTTCTATATCCCTTAGTATATATATATTGTTATTCAACATGTATAAAAATTACACGGGAATCCTACGAACTGATATTTATTTTTCAGTTCTTACAAATAATCTAAAAATAGAAAATTACAATCGAACTGAAAAATAAATTATAACTCGTAGGATTCCCGTGTAATTTTTATACCCGTTGAATAACAATCGCAAGAAGAATAAATCAACCTACTGGACTGATGGCTTCCACCGGAAATGGTTCCAACACTCAGCATCCGATCAATCATGTACCTGCTGTCCATTTCCCTACTGCCGAGAAGCCCGAAAAATTCAATGGGCTTGATTTTAAAAGGTGACAACAAAAGATGCATTTTTACTAGACCACTTTGGGTTTGGTGAAATACCTGAAGGACGACCCCCCGGTTATTGCTGAAAATGAGACCAATACTGAACTACGCACTGCGTACGAAGCTTGGGGGCAAGGTGATTACCTTTGCCGTAACTATGTCCTGAACGGACTTAGTAACGAGTTGTACAATGTGTACAGCTCGGTTGGTTCTGTCAAAGAGCTTTGGGCTGCTTTGGAAAAGAAGTACAAGACCGAGGATGCCGGGGCGAAAAAATTCGTCGTCGGAAAATTTCTTGACTTCAAAATGGTTAACACAAAGACCGTTGTGTCACAAGTGCAAGAATTCCAACTCATCTTGCACGATATTCATGCTGAGGGAATGTCTCTGAGCGAGTCATTCCAAGTTGCGGCTGTGATTGAAAAACTGCCAACGGGTTGGAAAGACTTCAAGAACTACCTCAAACATAAGAGGAAGGAAATGAGTCTTGAAGACTTGATTGTTCGTCTTCGTATTGAGGAGGACAATCGTAATTCATCGGGGAAAATTCCGATGATGGAGGCTCGTGCTAACTTGATAGAACAAGGCAACTCGAGCAAGAGAAAGTCCCTAGACAAAGGGAAGCAGCCTGCCAAGGTTTGGAAGTTTACCGGAACTTGTTATAATTGTGGAAAGCCGAACCATATGGCTAAAGACTGCAAGAGGCTAAAGAAGGTTGGGCCAAAGAAAGGTAAACCGAGTGCCCTTGTTGCTGAACACGGCCCTGTGCCGGGTGAACTAACCGACTTTGATATGTCGGCTGTGGTGTTTGAAGCCAATATAGTGGATAACCCAAGGGAGTGGTACATCGATACTGGTGCCACTCGTCATGTGTGTTCCGATAAGGAGGTATTTTCTGAATACACTCCTGCTAAGAGTCGGAAACTTTACATGGCAAACTCCGCCACGGCTAATGTGGCTGGAGTGGGCACTGTGGTGCTGAAGCTGACTTCTGGAAAGGAGTTGAAGCTTAAGGATGTTCTGCATGTCCAGACATCCGCAAGAATTTGGTCTCCGGATCTCTTCTTGTTGAGCATGGATTTAGGCTAGAATTTGATGCTAAGAAATTTATTCTTAGTAAGTTTGGAACTTTCCTTGGTCGTGGCTATCTCGACAAGGGTATGTTCAAAATGAATGTAATGGCCGTGAGCCGTGTAACCGTTTTAAATGATAATGAAAAGCCTATTTCTGTTTATACCGTTGAGTACTCTAATTTATGACATATTAGATTGGGGCATGTAAATCTATGCCCCAATCTAATATGCCATTAAACGGTTGATGAATTTAGAATTAATTCCCAATTCTAAATTTGAGACGAATACAAAATGTGAAATTTATATTGAAGCAAAAATGGCTAAGTTTCCTTTTCACTCGGTGGAAAGAAGTACTGAACCATTAGGCTTAATCCATACTGATGTATGTGATATGAAAAGTGTGCAAACAAGAACGGGTAAAAAGTATTTTATTACTTTTATCGATGATTGCACAAGGTTTTGCTACTTATATTTATTAAGAAGCAAAGACGAGGCTGTGGAAGCATTTAAAATCTATAAGACCGAAGTTGAAAATCAACTCAGCAAAAAGATTAAAATAATCCGAAGTGATAGGGGTGGGGAGTATGTAGCTCCTATTGAACAAATATGTTCTGAATATGGCATAATTCATCAAATGACAGCCCCTTATTCTCCACAGTCGAACGGTGTTGCTGAACGCAAGAACCGTACGTTAAAAGAAATGATGAAGCAATGTTGATAAATTCAGGATTACCACAAAACATGTGGGGGGAAGCTGTCTTATAAATACCTGAAAGTGTGGGGGTGTTTGGCTAAGGTTTCAGTACCGGAACCCAAACAAATGAGAATCGGGCCAAAGACGGTCGATTGTGTATTTATTGGATATGCGTACAATAGTACAACATATAGGTTTCTGGTTCATAAATCAGAAAATCCAGAGGTATCTGTTGGTACCACGATTGAGTCAAGGAATGCTATATTCTTTGAGAATATTTTTTCCTCTAAAGAAAGAGCAGAATCTAGTTCTAATAAACGAACGTATGAAACTGCTAGTGGTTCTGTACCAGAGGGTACTGATGAAGAACCGAGACGTAGTAAAAGGTTAAAAGCGGCGAAAATGTTTGGACCTGATTTTATTACGTACATGTTGGACGATGAACCGAGCTCCCTCAAGGAAGCTCTGTCCAGCCCAGATGGACCACTCTGGGAAGAAGCTGTAAATAGCGAAATCGAGTCCATTATGCAAAATCATACTTGGGAGTTGGTTGATCTCCCTGATGGTTGTAAACCTTTAGGATGCAAGTGGATCCTAAAGAAGAAATATAAAGCTGATGGATCGATTGATAAGTTTAAAGCACGATTGGTCAAAGGCTTTAAACAAAAGGAAGGGTATGATTTCTTTGATACCTATTCACCAATTACGCGTTTAGCGTCGATAAGAGTGCTTCTCTCGATTGCTGCTTTGCACAATCTTGAGATTCACCAAATGGATGTCAAGACGGCATTTTTGAATGGTGAATTGGAAGAAGAAATATACATGGAACAACCTGAAGGGTTTGTTGCAACTGGACAAGAGAGAAAGGTGTGTAGATTGATCAAATCATTGTACGGACTGAAACAAGCTCCGAAACAATGGCATTTGAAATTTGATGACGTGATGTTATCAAATGAGTTCAAAATCAATGAATGTGACAAATGTGTTTATGTCAAGAGTGCATCAAATGCATTTGTGATTGTATGTTTATATGTAGACGATATGTTGATCATGGGGAGTAGCCATGAAGTGATCATGGATACGAAAAGAATGTTGAAAAGAAATTTCGACATGAAAGATATGGGTTTGGCTGATGTTATTCTTGGAATAAGGATTATCAGAACCCAAGATGGAATTGTCTTGTCACAATCTCATTATGTAGAGAAAGTGCTCAAGAAATTTGATACCTATGACGGTGCACAGTCTAGGTGTAAGACACCCATTGATCTTAGTATAAATCTGGTAGCCAATAAAGGTCAACCAGTGGCTCAGTTGGAATATTCACGGATAATAGGGAGTCTGATGTACTTAACGAATTGTATACGACTAGACTTGGCCTATCCGGTGAATAAGTTGAGCAGATTTACGAGCAATCCCAGTCATGAACACTGGAATGCTTTGAGAAGGGTACTTAAGTACTTGAGGTACACCATTGAATACGGGCTAAAATACTCGAGATATCCAGCCGTACTTGAAGGGTACTGTAATGCAAGCTGGATATCAGATTCGAGAGATTCTCGCTCCACTAGCGGATATGTTTTCTGTATAGGAGGAGGTGCAGTTTTGTGGAAATCCACAAAACAAACGTGTATAGCTCGTTCAACTATGGAATCGGAGTTCATTATCGCTTTAGATAAAGCTGGTGAAGAAGCCGAGTGGCTTAGAAATTTTTTATCAGATATTCCATGTTGGGATAAGACTTTACCGCCTGTGATGATTCACTGTGATAGCCAAGCTGCTATAGGTAGGGCGCAAAGCAACTTGTATAACGGTAAGTCTAGACATATTCGTCGTAGACATAATACCGTACGCCAATTGATCACAAATGGTGTTATTTCCATTGACTATGTGAAGTCTAAGGAAAATTTGGCTGATCCTTTGACGAAAGGATTGAATAGAGATCAATTGGTAGTTTTGCTAGAGGGAATGGGCTTAAAAACCCACAATGTAAAGAATGATCATAGTGGTAACCCTACCATGCTGAGTGGAGATCCCACGAACTTGGTTCAAAGGGAAAACTAAGCTATGAAAATTCAGTTGAGCACTTGGAACATATGAATGTCCAGAGCTATTCCCTAGAGCACTCCAAGTGCAATATTACCTGTTGATTGTGGTAAGGGTAAGTCATGTGGACTTTTAATGAATCCATAACCTTGTAAAGGTGGAGTATGACAGGATACTCTTGAGAGGGAGGTCACCTATATAAGTGTGAAGTGTGGGTCGTTTTAAATGTAAACACTTATGAATCCATTGTGTTGTCCATGGCCAAAACGGACACAACGATAGAACGGAATGGAGTTAAAACTCTATTGTGTAAATGTCATTGTCTTAGTGTATACTATGGAGGAATAATTCAAGACATTATGTCCACTAGGCCGCCACTGCATCCGATGATGTTTACTAAGAAA